TATTAGAAGGTGCTAAAATAGGATACATACAAATTCAGGCTATATAAAAACACAATCTAGACTACTTCCCTCAGACACCAAACACAGGAAAGCCTATTGTACAATTGCAAATAGCACAGCATTTAGGAATTATTTCCAAAGATAAATAAGAGCATTGAAAAAATATAATCGCGCATTTAAAAAAAACTTTAAAAAACCAATTAGATCCACCAAGGCTTCGCCTATACATTATTCAAAAACTCGAAATACATTGGCAGTGCCGCAATTAAAACAGACTATATTACACTATACAGTAGACTAATTAAGCCACAAACGCCAATAATTAACGATATACTAAAATATATGATTTTACCTTATCCACTCCCCTTGAAAAAGTGGCGCGCGCTCTTTGATGGTGAGAGTCGATAGGTTTCTATGCAGTAACTCTCTATGCCTTGAAGAACCAAGCGCTTTGTTATTGACCAATCCGAAAATAAGGGTGCTGTATAACGAGAGACACTTTTCACATCTGGCGTTAGAGGCGGGCGGACACGGTGATAAGGGCTTTTTATAAGGCTCAGTGCCACAGAACAACAGATTCTGAGAAACATGAGCCAAAACCCCACTTTCACGATAAGAATGCTGGTTTTGCTAGTGTCTTATTTGGTCAGGATACCTTCTTGAACTATATAATATATCTATCATCATGCAAATAATTTCCTGCCCTCCTTCCAGTAAGGCCTTCTATGTGTCTATTCATGCGATTCATGTTGGAACCGACCCTCTGGTAATATTTAAACTTGTGTCAGTTGCATGGTGTGGGTGGGTCTAGCTCTTATTCAGCAGTGGTTAAAGGATAAGGTCATTTTCATGTAAAAGGTCCCATGAGCACCAAGTTTATAGGAGTATATCACATTTGGTGTCAAATGAAAGCGAAGAGTATATTTTTGGGAAATGAAGGCACAGATACGTTTTTCAACCATTTTCCATCCTAAATATTAGGAATAAGCAAAGGCTTTGGTTTCTGGGCACACAGATGGAAAAGGGGTCTTAAAAAACATCTACTAGAGAAAGTATTTAAAGGTATTAGAAATGCATCAAAACACAATGTTGAACTAATATCAACATTTATATTTAGTTTTGCAGTAGAGCGTAGTACAGTACAGAACAGTCTGCATATAGTGTGTGGTTTGATAAACTTTGCAAATCAATTGTTTTTGCTTGGCATACATTTTAAAGTGAAAAAGTGTAATTGCCCATAATACAATGACATGACACGGACATCTCTTAACAACCTGATGGTGACATATTACCTTGACAATGGTCAAACCATAGTCACACAGTAACAGAAATACACTACATGACCAAAAGCATGTGGACACCTGCTCGAAGAACATCTCATTCCAAAATCATGGGCATTAATATGGAGTTGGCCCCCCCACCTTTGCAGCTATAACAGCCTCCACTCTTCTGGCAAGGCTTTGCACTAGATGTTGGAACATTGCTGCGGGGACTTGCTTCCATTTAGCCACAAGAGCATTAGTGAGGTCGTGCACTGATGTTGGGCGATTAGGCCTGGCTCGCCGTCGGCATTCCAATTCATCCCAAAGGTGTTAGATGGGGTTGAGGTCAGGGCTCTGTGCAGGCCAGTCAAGTTCTCCACACTGATCTCGACAAACCATTTCTGTATGGACCTCGCTTTGTGTACGGGGGCATTGTCATGCTGAAACAGGAAAGGTCCTTCCCCAAACTGTTGCCACAAAGGTGGAAGCACAGAATAGTCTAGAATGTCACTGTATGCTGTAGTGTTAAGATTTCCCTTCACTAGAACTAAGGGTCCTAGGCCGAACCATGAAAAACAGCCCCAGACCATTATTCCTCCTCCACCAAACTTTACAGTTGGCACTATGCATTCAGGCAGGTAGCGTTCTCCTGGCATCCGCCAAACCCAGAATCGTCCGGACAGCCAGATGGTGAAGCGTGATTCATCACTCCAGAGAACGCGTTTCCACTGCTCCAGAGTCCAATGGCGGCGAGCTTTACACCACTCCAGCCGACGATTGGCATTGCACATGATGATCTTAGGCTTGTGTGCAGCTGCTAGGCCATGGAAACCCATTTAATGAAGCTCCTGACGAACAGTTATTGTGCTGATGTTGCTTCCATAGGCAGTTTGGAACTCTGTAGTGAGTGTTGCAACCGAGGACCGACGATTTTTACGCGCTACGTGCTTCAGCACATGGCGGTCCCGTTCTGTGAGCTTGTGTGGCCTATCACTTCGTGGCTGAGCCGCTGTTGCTCCTAGACGTTTCCACTTCACAGTAACAGCACTTACAGTTGACCGGGGCAGCTCTAGCAGGGCAATAATTTGACGAACTGACTTGTTGGAAAGGTGGCATCCTATGACGGTGCCACGTTGAAAGTCACTGAGCTCTTCAGTAAGGCCATTCTACTGTCAATGTTTGTCTATGGAGATTGCATGGCTGTTTGCTCTATTTTATACACCTGTCAGCAACGGGTGTGGCTGAAATAGCCAAATACACTAATTTGAAGGGGTGTCCACATACTTTTGTATAAGTAGTGTAGACCTACAAAGACAGGCAGGAGAAACTTCATTTTACAAATCTTTATTTTAAACGTTTTCGGACAGAAAAAGGTCTATGTATCTACATTAAGCTATGAAAACATTTGCAATATTTTCATTTCAGTATCTTTGCACGTTGGTAGTTCTGTCTTTTAGAACTCGTCATTTTTTAGTAGTGTTTGGTCATGATTATCAAAATCAAATCTCTAACCTACTGTACATAACACACAGGAACTGTGCACCAGTTTGACAAGACCTTAGACACCTGTACACATGGTGATTGGTGATGGCACACGTATTGTGCATAAGTGTGTGTGTGCGCACGTGTGGGATCCAACGCAAACAGCTGATATTTCTCTTGGGAATGCCAACCTTTGATCAATCTGAAGAGAACAGGTGGAAGGGAGATTTGAGTTAAAAGAGAAAAGTGCCAAATATGGATGGTCAATATTCATGCTCTATATACACATCTGATGCACTATATTACACTGTAATAGACAGACTAGTCATCCACCTAATACAGGAGTCTAATTAGAATTGTATCCACTGACTTTTTACTAATACAGAAAACACATCAATACTTTTTGAATGAATGAGGGGTTGTGCACAATTCAAACGACACCACCCTTAAAGTGAAACACACACTGTTAACTTCACAACAAACACATTCAGGTGAGAAAACCCCCCCCCAAACATGCAGACATACTGTAGTTTTGTCATCGAGGGGAACATAATAAATACATTGAGTCTTACTGCCATTTTAGAGCTGGTAGCAGACAGTAACTAAAAAACTAAAATCCAATACTATCAAGAACTCAAAATTAAAAAGACAAACTCTTAACCCCTGGTCGATAATGTACTAGTTTTCTGTAGTAAAAATGTATCCAGTGTTCAGACTCTTTATCTACTTCATTGTATAGTGCTTTTTGGAATGAACTTGGAAAATAATATTCATCATATGCATATAAAAGACATCAAACTGACAGTGTTCTACTGTATAGAGCAGGGCTCGCCAACCCTGTTCCTGGAGAGATACTATCCTGTATGTTTTCACTTCAACCCTAATCTAGCGTACCAGATTCTAATAATTAGCTACATCAGATTAGTTACAACTGGGATTGGAGCGAAAACCTACAGGAGGGTAGCTCTCCACGAACAGGGTTGGAGAGCCCTGGTATAGAGACTCGTTTCTGGGGGCATTCATGGTGGTCAGTCATGGACAGTATGAAATATTTCACGTTTTAATTTCTCAACCTGACCAGTCTCTCTGAAACTCTCATCTTCATCATCACATCATCATTTCCTTCTTTCTCCATATTAAACTCACTTTCGCTCCATCTCCATCACTTTCTCAATGCTCCTTTACTCCTTTCATTTAAAAAGTGTCCCCTCTCTTGCTACAAAAGCCGTGTTTTTTCTCTTTTCGCAAGTTGGTCACTGCGGTGCCCTTTCCCTCTACTTTCTCGTCCTGCCTCGCGTGCACAAGAACAGATATGGGATGAATTACATGCTCCCCACAAGCCAGTTTCACAAAGCCCATAGTTTGGTCACCCACAGATCGCAACAGAAAACAGCATTTTCAAAGTGGGGGCGGACCTTTTTCCAGTATTGTGTCACTTTGAGGCTGTGTTGAGACAATCAAACACTGTCTGTCCTCAAGCTCCTAAAGATGGAGGACAGAAATGACCATGCAATTACTCTGGGAGTGGTCCTTTTCTCCTTCCCCAAAATGTTTGTTTTTCAGATTCAGAATATAACTTCTTGCACAAGGCCAGACCCACTGTGCTGTGTATACAGTGCACAGATAGCTGAGGGGAATCAGTGGTGTCCAATATAAAAAAATTAAAATACATTCGTCGCTCCCTAGTGCCTTTTGTCTTCCTCAAAGCATTCATGTACATGTTAACGTAACTGCGGTGCTGGCGGTCCTGGCTCCCATGCCCACGTCTTCGTCATGCAAATCAAATCAACCATATGTTTTGCCAGCTGGGTACAGGCCCCTGTGGTGTGTTGGTTGAGGTGGTCTCTTTGGGGCAGCATTTCCTTTATGAAGCTTTAAAGATGGAATCCACAGTTGGGGGAAACAGCACCACTGTTATTGTTGCCGAGCTGAGGAGACGTTGCGAAGCATGGTAAAAAAACAAGCAGTACATATTGTGCTCTTCTACTGTGCGTTTAATGATGTCTTGAGGGGAAAAACAGTGTTCGTTGTTTGCAGTAACTTCTTTGTTGTTGGCTGTTTCACCATTAAAGATTACAGCTTTAAAGCAGTTAGGGAAGTTTCAAACAGTCCGAAACAAAGGATCTATCCAGTACAGTGAGGACCAGCCTAGGAGTGCCAGGCAAGACCAGGCCAGAACAGGCATCCTGTGGTTTAGCAGGAAGAACAGTGTTTGTACAGTACTGAGGCTGTGGTCTGCCACTACACTAACGGCTCCTAGACACAGCCATACTCATACCACACAGTCTGGGGGTCGTTGTTGGGGTCTGGGGAGGCAGGGGTGCTCTTGGGGGGCTCCTCTGTTCCACAGCTCAGCCCCCCTCCTCCTCCTCCCACCTCCGGTTTCTTCAGCAATGGGGAGTTCGCCTGTTGCGGCGTCTCCCTGCGTTGCACCTCTTCCTCCTGTGCCTCCTCCAGTCTCAGAGAAGACACCGCCCTCACTGGCGTCACCATGGCAACCTCCCCACGGTGGTTCTTCTGATTCTGCTGGGGGTTGGGCCGTCCCTGCTGTGGTCCGGTGCTGGGGCTGTTGTTCCTGGGGGTGGCGCCTGGTGTTGTTCTCCCTCCGTATCGCTCGGGCTGCAAGGATAGGGAGGAGTAGTGGTGCTGGGGAGGGGTCAGGCTGAGTGGTTCCTCTTTAGGTGGAGCCAGAGGCAGCCTGCGGGGGTCTATGTCCGAGGGTCCTGCTAGCCTGGCAGACTGGGGGCGCTCCCTGGCCATGGCTCCAGCCCCAGGCCTCCTGACCACCCCGTCCCCACCTCCACCACCCTGGCTGGGCGAGCCACCTGCCTCCCTGTCTGTCCGATAGCTATCTGGACCGTTTGAGCGCAGCAGGTCAGCAGAAGCCAGGCTGAAGGTCCGAGACAGACTGCTGCTGCTGCCCAGACCACCTCCATGGGGTGCAGGGGGTCCCAGGGGTGAGGGCCACCCCCCTGTCCCTAACCCGTTGCTGGCCCGGTTGGGTAGGGTCTGGGAATGGTTCTGGGGCGTGGAGGTGGATCCCTCAGGGAGCCGGACGATGGGCCTGACGCACTGGCCTGGTTTGGAGTTCCTGCCTGGCACCTCGTCAGCCCGTTGGAGGTCTGAGTTTCTCTTCACGGTGGGCGTGACGTAGCTGGTGGGGGTCTTGGCTCCATCTCTCAGAGGAGAGGGCCGGCCAGGGGTGGATCTCTCCCTCTCTCCTGTTCTGCTGAAGTAGTCCTCCATCAGGTCCTCCCGACTGCCTGTCTGCACCTGAGGGGATGAGGGAGACAGACACACAGCACTTAGACAGATTAATCAAGGAAGTAAAGACGTCATCAACACCAAACCCTTATCACACAGAGAGGGAGTCCATCCAGAGCTATTATTGTCCATGTTCAACTTCCTGGATTACTGTACAGACAACAACATGGGACTCAGGACTGATCCAATCAGAGAAGTGCTTGTTTAGATTGTGTCTATTGTTAAACAGTATAAAGACTCCTGGAAATATGGCCCCTGTGTCTGCCTGCCTACGCCTCCATGGTGCAGATTCATCAGGGAATGTGTTTACAACACAAGGGGCCATACACATCTCTCACTGCAGCACTATATAAATGACATAAAATTAATGGCCAGCCAATCAGAGCAGCCCGCTGCTCACAGGGCTAACAGCCAATGAGACGATGAGAAAACAAAGCTAATCTAATGAGGAAGAAGAAATGCCTTTATAAACAAATAAGTATTCATTTGGTCTGCACTATTAAAAATACAGGGACTATGGGAGGTAACACCACTGCTCAGATGTTGATTGATACACCACTTTGGGATGAAGGTAAATGTTAGTATGTTTAGGCATGAACAGCTCTCAATCATATTTAGTCAGGTTTAGAGGCAAAAACTGTAGGTGTGTTAACCCATTTTACACTGTTTTAAGTGGTTAGTCAGGGCAGCAAGACAATCAGATTGATCTCTCTACATTCTTTAAAACAGAGGTAGGAAGAGAACAAGAGAGATAGAGAGTGAAAGACAGAGCGAGAAAGAAATTGACATTGTATGGTGTTGAACCCCCGTTGCCATGCCCACTAAGTGATTAGTATTTTATTTACTGTTTTTGCGTTAGAAAGTGAGGTAAATGGAGAGTGGGTAGGTGTGCACATCCCAACATTTCATCTACAAAAGCCTGTCAAGTCAGGTGAGGTGAATGACCAAAACCTGACAGTGCCACCCATCCATCACCCTGATGGTACCTATACAGAGCCCCAGTCAGAGGAGCTGTGGGTGGAGAGCTGTGCTTTACCTAGCATCACTCAATGCAGAACGAAACCTTACCTATTATCTGAAACTGGGGGATTTACAGAGACCCGTTCAGTATTCTTCATTTGCAGACGTAACAAACTTAATTCAGACCATTAATATTTTAGAGGCTGTTATTGGAAGCCTATCTAGCCAGTCTAGGTCGGCTGAGAAATCCAACTAAATGATCACGTATCATAATAAATAAATAAAATAATAGGCTATATGAAGCCACAACGCCTTCCCAAACCTTTCATCCATTTCCCTATGACACTATATGCTTATTCTAAAAACAATTAAATATTCTTTTTTTCTCATCAATCTACACACAATACCCCATAATGACAAAGCGTTTTTTACCTAAGTAATCAGACCCTTTGCTATTAGACTCGAAATTGAGCTCAGGTGCATCCTGTTTCCATTGATCATCCTTGAGATGTTTCTACAACTTGACTGGAGTCCACACCTGTGGTAAATTCAATTGATTGGACATGATTTGGAAAGGTGCACACCTGTCCCACAGTTGACAGTGCATGTCAGAGCAAAAACCAAGCCATGAGGTCGAAGGAATTGTCCGTAGAGCTCCGAGGCAGGATTGTGTCAAGGCAGAGATCTGGGGAAGGGTACCAAAAAATGTCTGCAGCATTGAAGGTCCCCCACAGTGGCCTTCATTCTTAAATGGAAGAAGTTTGGAACCACCAACACTCTTCCTAGAGCTGGCCAACCGGTCAAACTGAGCAATCGGGAGAGAAGGGCCTTGGCCAGGGAGGTGACCAAGAACCTGATGGTCACTCTGACAGAGCTCCAGAGTTCCTCTGAGGAGATGGGAGAACCAGAAGGACAGCCATCTCTGCAGCACTCCACCAATCAGGCCTTTATGGTAGAGTGGCCAGACGGAAGCCACTCCTCAGTAAAAAGGCACATGACAGCCCGCTTGGAGTTTGCCAAAAGGCACCTAAAGGACTCTGACCGTGAGAAACAAGATTCTCTGGTCAGATGAAACCAAGATTGAACTCTTTGGCCTGAATGCCAAGCGTCGCGTCACGTCTGGAGGAAACGTGGCACCATCCCTACGGTGGAGCACGGTGGTGGAGAGCGGGAGACTAGTCAGGATCGAGGGAAAGATGAATGGAGCAAAGTACAGAGATCCTTGATGAAAACCTGCTCAGGACCTCAGAGTGGGGCGAAGGTTCACCTTCCAACAGGACAACGACCCTAAACACACAGCCAAGAAAACGCAGGAGTGGCTTTGGGACAAGTCTCTAAATCTCCTTGAGTGGCCCAGCCAGAGCCCGGACCTGAACCCAATCGAACATCTCTGGAGACTTGAAAATAGCTGTGCAGCGACGCTCCCCATCCAACCTGACAGAGCTTGAGAGGATCTGCAGAGAAGAATGGGAGAAACTCCCCAAATACAGGTGTGCCAAGCTTGTAGAGTCATACCCAAGAAGACTCGAGGCTGTAATCACTGCCAAAGGTGCTTCAACAAAGTACTGAGTAAAGAGTCTGAATACTTATGTAAATATACCATTTCATTATAAAAAAATGTAATACTTTTTTTTATCTAAAAACCTGTTTTTGGTTTGTCATTATGGGGTATTGTATTGATGAGGTGGAAAAAAAACAATTTAATCAATTTTAGAATAAGGCTGTAATGTAACAACATTTGGAAAAAAGTAAAGGGGTCTGAATACTTTCCGAATGCACTGTATATGCTTGACCATACTAAGCTAGTACATCCACATCCCAAACCCTTCATCCATCTCCCTATAACACATTATCCCTCTATTCTTACAGTGGGTGGTGTCAGTGCTTACAGTGGGTGGTGAGAGGGTGTTGCTCTCCTCCAGGAACTCTTCCAAGGTGACCATATCGCTGCCAGGGGAGGCGGTTCGGTGGCGGCCCGGCCGGGGTGCACTCCTCTTGGTCGGGGTGTGTGTATGGGTGTCGTAGGGAACCGTGGAGCTCCGGGGGAGAGACAGGGAGTGGGACACGTCGTGTCTAAGGCCCACTACGTCATCACTGGACAGGCTGGCAGAACGGCCCTGCAGGCGCTCCAGGGAATCTGGATGGACAGAGGGAGGTAGAGAGGTAGAAATAGACAATAAGAATTAGAGCTATTGTTTTTTACTCAACTAACTGCTGAAAATGACTTAAGTCCATAGTGGGGGATAGTACCAGAAAGCAGGCTAAAATAGTGGCCTGAGACATGCTCAAGATAACGACAAATCTGGTATAGAAATCAAAGGTTGTTAAATATAAAATGGCATCTATTGAAGTAGTTTGCAGGGTTTGCAGATAGACATAGTTGTTGGTTGTACCTTTGCAGTTGACAGGGGAATTGCTGCTGGAGGTGTTGCGGCTGAGCTCAGCAGAGCCTGGTCGATAACCTGCAGAGAAAGAGATGGTGGAGGGAAAGAGAGAAAGAGAGAGCAAGAAAGAATGAAACAGAGAGAGGGACACAGAGTGAAAGGGAGCCCAAGGGTCCAGCAGCCGTCTGAACATGTATCAATCATCCTGGTCCTTTACCTGCGTTTCCATGGACACTGCTCCCAAACAGGGCGTCAGGGGAGTGAACCAGAGGGTCGTCCTCATGGATGAAACCTTACAGAGCACACAGAGAGGGGAGGGGGAAGTGAGTTACTCATCCATTACGCATTTGTCTCAGATGCTGTCCCACTGATGCTGTCCCACTTCACAACTAGAACTGTGCACACTAAAAGGGCAGTAGTGTTTAAGGACGATTAAGGGGACATTTCTAAGCTGTAGGAAAACCCCATGTTTACACACAGTAGGAAGTGAGCTGCCTGATTTTCAAGAATAGTTCATAAATTAGTACAGATTTGCATTTTACACGAGCAAAAACAACAAGGGGCAATGGACAAGTTTATGTCTCTCCACACCCTTCGACCCTATTTGACAGTCTGTAGATAAACTATAGATAATCCACTTAATGTCTACATACTGAATTCAAATGTTGCTACTATATAATATAATGTAGCAACTGGCTCTGTAAGATGATGTAGTCTAGAGCCACAAGGCTCCTTCCTGTAAGTGTTTGTGTATCTATTCCCCAGTTGATGGGACAACGTTCTGAGATTGGAACACAAGGTTTCAAGGAAAGTAAACAAACGTTCCCTGACCGTGATTATTGACTGAGGACGGCAGAATTATTCCATATAAAAACACTGAACACTGATAGTCTGCCAAGAGGTCAGTTGAGTGACGTGTAGATTCTTCAGCACTGCGTAACCAATGCATTCTGGGGGATTAGGGATTTAAAATCACTTGTTTGGTGTTATTCTGGAACACTAGATAGGTTCCCTTCCAATTGGCGACAGATTTACATGCAAATATTCTAAAATCTGCATTAAAAAAATATGCATGTTTTCTCACTAGAGGTATGCTTCCATCAAACTGACTTCTTGTGGATAAAATGCTGTGTGATAACGTAGTGCACATAAATAAATCACTTTTGCGCTGAAGTTTCCATGTACCGAAAGCGGAAGTTCAATGCTGTTTCGACCCTCTCTCTCCCTCTCTACCGCACCTGCTGTCTCGACCTCTGAATGCGTGGCTATGAAAAGCCAACTGACATTTACTCCTGAGCTGCTGACCCGTTGCCTATAACCACTGTGATTATTATTTGACCCTGCTGGTCATCTATGAACGTTTGAACATCTTGAAGAACGATCTGGCCTTAATGGCCACGTACTCTTATAATATCCACCCGGCACAGCCAGAAGAGGACTGGCCACCCCTCAGAGCCTGGTTCCTCTCTAGGTTTCTTCCTAGGTTCCTACCTTTCTAGGGAGTTCTTCCTAGCCATCATGCTTCTACATCTGCATAGCTCACTCTTTGGGGTTTTAGGCTGGGTTTCTGTATAAGCACTTTGTGACATCTGCTGATGTAAAAAGTGCTTTATAAATACATTTGATTGATATGATTGATTGAATGGGTTTCCATCACATTTTCAACTTTAATTGTCACAAAAACTGTTGCGATAAATTGCAAGCTTTCCCAATCTGGTTTTGGAGCATGCTCTCTAGACAACAGTTCGCTAATAAAGTGGACAGGGTAGGTTATGATGAGATATGGATAAGAGCAATATTAATGTTTCTTTGATAATTGGCAGCCAAGCATCGATCATCATGTCACCAGCATTCAAATAATACCCTCGATATTTATTGGAAATTTGCATCAAGCTCATCAACGTCCATCAGTTAACCTCCATGAAGTTTATCATAACTTATTTAATCTGCCTATAAACGCAACACTTTTCCACGTTGCTGTGATAGTACAATATAGCATATCATTGCGTGACTCCAAGTTTACTTCGATATGCTGGTTTATTATATCATTGGCATAAAGGACTTTCCACCGCATAATACATTTTACCGACACAAAAAGATCCCACCATGTCGAACAAACACATTGTCTGTCAACATTTATGAAATTGTACAGACACATCGTTTTTCCATCACACCTGTCTTGATTTATTTTTAAACAGAATGACTTTACTTAAAAACTGAGGATGGAAACTTGGATACTGACTTTAAGAAGAGACTGAAGCAAATGTGTTGTTTCATAGAAAGAACATACTGCAGGCCTATACTACATCATGACATCGTCACATTGAAGATGGCAGCTATTCAGTAAATGGGCATTGGGCCTACTGTACCTTTGGGTCTGTGTCCAGGCCTGGAGCTTGAGTTGGATGTCAGGCCTGAAGTGGAGGTGTGGTTGGCAAGGGTAGAGTGAGCAGCAGCCCCCCCTAGCTCCACACCTCTCCTTCTGGCGTACAGCTCCTCTGTGCCATTGACACTCTCACTGCTGCCCCCTGGAATTCGGTACAGCTCCCTGCCTCGGGACACGCCACTGTCGTTTAGTGCTAGGGGTACAATAACAGAGCAGTTAGTATCTATGATGGTACCACATCCTTCCAAACAAACAAACAAACAACCAACCCCATTCTGGACACAGCAGAGGCAGGTGAGCTGGAGGCTGCTGGACAGTGGACACAGTTAGGGCAGGTAGACAACAAGTGTGTGTTAGAGCAGCGAAGGGTAAGTGTCAGCAAAAGCTTTCGAAGGACACAAGTTGACTCCGTTTGCTCATTTGCTACAATACACAATGATATACAGTAGTCTCATAACTATCATTTCTTCAGTCAGACCACTTTCCAAATGGCAAGGTACTGTACGTACACCAATGGTTTTTAGATGCATTTTGGACCTACCAATGTTGCTATCTGATTACAGTCTTTTTACCAAAGAATAAAAGGCTAAATCCCTTTAAAATCAGTCAGACCGAACCCTGGCCTGCTGAGATAGAATAGAACACTGAAAGTTATACTTAAAACATTCTATAGGAAGTGAAGGCTTTGGCGATTTCCTGTCTGATTCTAACTGAAGAAAGAGAGAGAAAAAGAGCGAGCGAGAGAGAAAAAAGAGAGCGAGAGAGTGTGGATAGGCTAGCAGACAGTGGTGTCTCAGTCAACAGGGTGTCTGCTCGCCTACTGGCTAGCCAAAGCCTCAGGGAGGGTCTGGTTCTATACCTTCCATCTTATTCCATTCCCTGCTCCCTCTCTCACTTAGCCCAGCATTGTATTGGTCATTTATGCAAACATCACTGTGTTAGTAGTCTCAGACATCAATAGATCCAATAGAACAACAGTTATTCCGTATTTTTGCACAGCCATTGTCTTTTTGGCTGAGCAAAGGGATAACACAAATGGTGTGGAGGGAAAAGAGGTGGACAGAGAGTGAGGCTAAAAAGCATGACAGAGAGATAAGAGTACAGGATATGGAATAAAGGATAGGAGGATAGATTGCGGTGCGTATGAGTGTTTGACAAGGACAGTCAGAGAGAGTATGACGCTAGCTGGAGGCATTGATATTATCAGCAACGTGACACAGGCTAACACACAGGCAGCACAGACAGCATGTGCACACATCACTCCCCAAAATGTTATTTCTATCACCCTGGGATTAAAAGCACAATCCTTCAAACAGCAGTAAATATTGCAGATTGCCCCTGTATGAAGTTCTCCCCTCATCATTCCTCCATCCATGTGCAACATGAGATTTATACCGGCTGCCAGACAAAGAGACACAGCAGACAGAGTAACTGCCTTTATTGGGCTGGTGTCGTCGCTCTTCAGTTGCCCACTTTAAATGATTAAACATATCAGGTGACACACATATCTCATTCTCACAGAGCGAGGCAAAGCTGCTGGCTGCAGTAAAGGATGGCTCTAATCCAAAACAAGGCTACTTACTGCAGGGTCTAGCCAGAGTCGAGTGTTCAGAGTATGAGGCTAGAGGCCTCAAACGGTTCAGTTCAGAGTTCAGTTTGTGTGTGTTGGTATGTGTGATAGGGTATGTTGTGATGGGAGGAAAGCTCTATAAATGTGTATATGTGTGCATTAAGAGCTCGGTTTTCTGTAAGGAAATTATAACAGAGGGCCAAAAAGTAAAGATGTTGCAGATTAAAAAAGGGGGGTGAGTGAAGAGGAGTGAGTGAAGATGAAAATGACGAAGATGATGGTGGTGGTATTAGAACTGTCCAATGATGGGCAAGAGGGGCTCGGTGGTGCAGGTGGGGATGTCAGAAGAGGACCAGAAGCGAAGTTGTCTAGAGAGAGAATGCCGTGAGAGAGGCATCTTGGGAACCTTCATTTTCTCCTGGCTCTTACTCCTCAGAAAGCCAAACCGCTTGGCTGCTGTGATGGGGAGTACCGCTGGCAGGGCTGGGGGTGCTGAATGATAGGGGATTATGTTATACACACAATGACAAAGAGAAGGGGGAGAAAGAGAGATGAGTGAGTGATTGAGTGAAAGAAAGTAGTTAACTACATGCATTATATGAATGAACAGAGTCCAAAATAGTCCAACAGAGAAGAAGAAGAGTTCAAGTATTAAAATGTTTAGGCATGTAATAGATCCCCATTGAACTAGTAGATAATGAAGAACAGGCAAGATGAGTTGGAAGGGGAGGAAATGTGAGATTTTGTGTAGCTAGAGCTCCCTCTTGTGGTAAAGAGGACGTGTAGCACTGTATGGCCTTTACACCTTTCATTATTCAGGAGTAGAACAATTCTGGATGAGTAGACAAAAATACACTGCATTTTCCTTTGGATCCCCAACCTACCCCCCACCCCCTGTGTCCGTCTTACCTCTGCTGGAATGGGTGGGGGTGAGGGTAGGGGAGTGCCCCTGTCCATGGTGGTTCTCCTCCTGAGAGTGGTTCCCCAGAGAGTCCAGGCTGAGGCAGGACTGGCGGGGGGGCAGAGGAGGGGGAGGCAGGGGGGGAGGGACGTCAGGGAAGTCCAGGGTGGGAGGTTCAGGCAGGGGGATGTCTGGGGCGCTTCGCACCCTCTCCCTTGAGCTATCCTGTCTGTTCTTGGGCTTGATGAATTTGGCCAAGGCCTTGGCCCCGGCCCAGTGGTTCTTCCTGACAGACAGGAAATCACAGTTACACTCAGACATCCATCTATCCTCAGGCCACAGGTCATCTTCACTTGCGTCATATTTATTTCCTGTCTATGTACAGTGGGGAGAACAAGTATTTGATCCACTGCCGATTTTGCAGGTTTTCTACTTACAAAGCATGTAGAGGTCTGTAATTTTTATCAGAGGTACACTTCAACTGTGAGAGACGGAATCTAAAACAAAAATCCAGAAAATCACATTGTATGATTTAAGTAATTAATTTGCATTTTATTGCATGACATAAGTATTTGATCACCTAACAACCAGTAAGAATTCCGGCTCTCACAGACCTGTTAGTTTTTCCTTTAAGAAGCCCTCCTGTTCTCCACTCATTACCTGTATTAACTGCACCTGTTTGAACTCGTTACCTGTATAAAAGACACCTGTCCACACACTCAATCAAACAGACTCCAACCTCTCCACAATGGCCAAGACCAGAGAGCTGTGTAAGGACATCAGGGATAAAATTGTAGACCTGCACAAGGCTGGGATGGGCTACAGGACAATAGGCAAGCAGCTTGGTGAGAAGGTAACAACTGTTGGCGCAATTATTAGAAAATGGAAGAAGTTCAAGATGACGGTCAATCACCCTCGGTCTGGGGCTCCATGCAAGATCTCACCTAGTGGGGCATCAATGATCATGAGGAAGGTGAAGGATCAGCCCAGAACTACACAGCAGGACCTGGTCAATGACCTGAAGAGAGCTGGGACCACAGTCTCAAAGAAAACCATTAGTAACACACTACGCCGTCATGGATTAAAATCCTGCAGTGCACGCAAGGTCCCCCTGCTCAAGCCAGCGCATGTCCAGGCCCGTCTGAAGTTTGCCAATGACCATCTGGATGATCCAGAGGAGGAATGGGAGAAGGTCATGTGGTCTGATGAGACAAAAATAGAACACCATCCCAACCGTGAAGCATGGAGGTGGAAACATCATTCTTTGGGGATGCTTTTCTGCAAAGGGGACAGGACGACTGCACCGTATTGAGGGGAGGATGGATGGGGCCATGTATCGCGAGATCTTGGCCAACAACCTCCTTCCCTCAGTAAGAGCATTGAAGATGGGTCGTGGCTGGGTCTTCCAGCATGACAATGACACGAAACACACAGCCAGGGCAACTAAGGAGTGGCTCCGTAAGAAGCATCTCAAGGTCCTGGAGTGGCCTAGCCAGTCTCCAGACCTGAACCCAATAGAAAATATTTGGAGGGAGCTGAAAGTCCGTATTGCCCAGCGACAGCCCCGAAACCTGAAGGATCTGGAGAAGGTCTGTATGGAGGAGTGGGCCAAAATCCCTGCTGCAGTGTGTGCAAATCTGGTCAAGACCTACAGGAAACATATGATCTCTGTAATTGCAAACAAAGGTTTCTGTACCAAATATTAGGTTCTGCTTTTCTGATGTATCAAATACTTATGTCATGCAATAAAATGCAAATTAATTACTTAAAAATCATACAATGTGATTTTCTGGATTTTTGTTTTAGATTCCGTCTCTCACAGTTAAAGTGTACCTATGATAAAAATTACAGACCTCTACATGCTTTGTAAGTAGGAAAACCTGCAAAATCGGCAGTGTATCAAATACTTGTTCTCCCCACTGTATGCTCTAGGGCCCACAAAGTAAGCTCTCTTTCCCTGCTTGGGGAACTCTCCACAAGTGGCATAGCTAGGGTCAGGAGGGTTTACTGACCATGTGACCTAACCAGGAACAATTCAGGGACCTAGGGCTTGCTAATGCATCCATTTGTCATCCTATTCCATTGACTTAGATTAGAAAGTAAAATGTAACAAAACCTACTTTTTAGGGGTTGGATCATAAAACTTGTACTGATCCATGATCTTCTCCTCCAGTTTCTCTTTTTGCCTCCGGAGTGAGTTCAACTTGTCACTGGAAACACAGGATTTATTAGATATATTTATGACATTCAACTAATCAAATTCCAGTAGAAAATCTCTCCCGCTATATACCCGCACGTGCACGTACACACACACTCTCACAACGCCATACTCACATATACTGTTTCTGCTCTTCGTGGTAGAGCTCCTTGCTCTCCATGGTTCTCTCCAGCAGGGTCTGGTTCTGCTGGCTCAACATCTGGATCTGACTCAGCAGGTGGTGGTTCTCCTCCTCCAGGTTCCCCTTCAGACGAGTCAGCAACTGGGACAGCACACATCATAGAGAGGAATAGAGATGAGTTGATTATCGATTATGGAAAACCCATAGACAGTCCCCTGTGCAGTAGCTCATCGAGGCCCTGGAGTGGTCTTTCAGTGGTCTATGTACCTCACAGTGGTTGTCCAGCTTGGTCATGGAGATGTCCAGGCCCTGGTGCTGCTCCTTCATTGAGTCATATCTGGCCTGCCAGCGGTTCACCTCCAGCTGAGCTCCATTCAGACTGGTCTTCAGCTCCTTGGTCTGCACCTGCAGCCCATCATACTCCGCACGCAGCCGGGTATGTGTCTGGGTCAACCTACAGGGGATGTGGAGAGACAGTATGGAGAGACATGAGGTCCTGGTGCTTTGCAAAACAAATTAATCTTAAAAATACCAATTTTAGGGTCAGCTAGTCAGTTTTGTAGTTAGTTCATTTAGTTAGATTTCTGCTGAGAGTTGAGCTTAGCCATACTGATTTTTTTCTGCCCACTTGGCAACAAAAGCCAGTTTTATCTAATTGTAGTGTTAAAAAACCATGGCCAAGTGTGTGTAGATGGAGAAAGATAGTGAGAAACAGCCATTACAGTATGTAACCACCAGAGGGTACCAGTGTCAGGCTGTTATTGGACTGTTCTCTATGTGGTGCTTTGAAAAGCTGGAGTAGGTAGGTGGTGTTGTATACAGGTGCTGCTGTGCTGACTGAGCTCACCTGTCCACTTCCCCCCTCAGGCTCTGGTTCTCCCCCAGGATTAGGGCGTTTTTGTGGATCTCCTCTCCTAGAATCCCCCTCTCCTTCTGGAGGGTGGACTCCAGTGCCTCCATGGCATCTTTCTGCTTCAGGAGCACTATGTACCTGCACACAGACAGAGACACAGAAACAGAGACTGGGTTAAAGACAGATATTCCTCAGAGGTCACAAACATATATACAGTGCCTTGAAAAAGTGTTCAGACCCTTTGGATTTTTCTTCACATTTTATTGTGTTACAAAGTGGGATTAAAATAGATTTAAGTGTCTTTTTTTTGTCAACAATCTACACAAAATACTCTTTATTGTCAAGTGGAAGAAAAATGTAATAATAAAATATAGTCGTTGCATAAGTATTCAGCTCCCTGAGTCCATATATGTTAGAAACACTTTTGGCAGCAATTACAGCTGTGAGTATTATTGGGTAAGACTCTATGGCTTTGCACACCTGGATTGTGCAATATTTGGCAATTATTATTTTCAAAATTCTTCAAGATGTTGGGGATCATGGGGTAGACAGCAATTTTCAAGTCTTGCCATAGTATTTCAAGCAAATTTAAGTCAAAACTGTAACTTGGCCACTTAGGAACATTCACAGTCTTCTTGGTAAGCAAGGTTATTGTACTGCTGAAAAGTGAATTCCTCTCCCAGTGTCTGGTGTAAAGCAGACTGAAGCAGGTTTTGCTCTAGGATCTTGCCTCTGCTTAGCCCTATCCCTTTTCCTTTTTACCCTGAAAAACTCCCCAGTATTTGCCGATGTCAAGCATACTCATACCATGATGCAGCCACCACCATGCTTGAAAACAAAGAAGCAGTTACTCAGTGACGTGTTGTGTTGATTTGCCCCATACACAGGGCTTTGCATTTAGGCCAAAAAGTATATTCCTTTGCCATGTTTTTTTTAGCAGTATTACTTTAGTTCCTTGTTGCATACAATATGCATGTTTTGTAATATTTGTTTTGTGTATATTTGTGTTATTTTCACTCTGTAATTTAGGTCATTATTGTGGAGTCACTATAATGTTATTGATCCATCCTCAGTTCTCTCCCATCACAGTCATTCAACTCTGTAACTGTTTTAAAATCACCAATGGCAACATCCTTGAGAAGTTTCATTCCTGTCCTGCAGCTCGGTTCAGAAGGACGACTGCATCTTTGAGGTGTCTGGGTGGTTTAATACATAATGCACAGCATAATTATTAACTAGATCATGCTTATAGATATTCAATAATTGATATGTTATTGTTACCCATCTACCAATCACATTGCCCTTCTTTGTGAGGCTTTCAAAAAGCTCCCCTTTGTAGTTGAATCTGTGCTTGAAATTCAATACTTGACTGAGGTACCTAAAGATGTTGTATGTATGGGGGACAGAGGAAGGGTAAGTCATTTAAAAATCATGTCAACACCTATTATTTCACACAGAGTGAGTCCATATAACTTATTACGTGATTTGTTAAACCAGATTTTACATCTGATCGAATTTAGGCTTGCCTAAATACATATGCAATAACTATATTCTAGTTATTAAAACATTTTATTAATGAAAAAAACTAATATATACACACACACACACACACACACACAGTGGGGATAACAAGTATTTGATACACTGCCGATTTTGCAGGTTTTCCTACTTACAAAGTATGTAGAGGTCTGTAATTTTTTATCATAGGTACACTTCAACTGTGAGAGTCGGAATCAAAAATCCATAAAATCACATTGTATGATTTTTAAGTAATTAATTTGCATTTTATTGTATGACATAAGTATTTGATCACCTACCAACCAGTAAGAATTCCGGCTCTCACAGACCTGTTCGTTTTTCTTTAAGAAGCCCTCCTGTTCTCCACTCATTACTTGTATTAACTGCACCTGTTTGAACTCGTTACCTGTATAAAAGACACCTGTCCACACACTCAATCAAACAGACTCCAACCTCTCCACAATGGCCAAGACCAGAGAGCTGTGTAAGGACATCAGGGATACAATTGTAGACCTGCACAAGACTGGGATGGGCTACAGGACAATAGGCATGTAGCTTGGTGAGAAGGCAACAACTGCGCAATTATTAGAAAATAGAAGAAGTTCAAGATGACGGTCAATCACCCTCGGTCTGGGGCTCCATGCAAGATCTCACCTCGGGGGGCATCAATGATCATGAGGAAGGTGAGGGATCAGCCCAGAACTACACAGCAGGACCTGGTCAATGACCTGAAGAGAGCTGGGACCACAGTCTCAAAGAAAACCATTAGTAACATACTACGCCGTCATGGATTAAAATCCTGCAGAGCATGCAAGGTCCACCTGCTCAAGCCAGCGCATGTCCAGGCCCGTCTGAAGTTTGCCAATGACCATCTGGATGATCCAGAGGAGGAATGGGAGAAGGTCATGTGGTCTGATGAGACAAAAATAGAGCTTTTTGGTCTAAACTCCACTCGCCGTGTTTGGAGGAAGAAGGAGGATGAGTACAACCCCAAGAACACCATCCCAACTGTGAAGCATGGAGGTGGAAACATCATTCTTTGGGGATGCTTTTCTGCAAAGGGGACAGGACGACTGCACCGTATTGAGGGGAGGATGGATGGGGCCATGTATCGCGAGATCTTGGCCAACAACCTCCTTCCATCAGCAAGGGCATTGAAGATGAAACGTGGCTGGGTCTTCCAGCATGCCAACGACCCGAAACACACAGCCAGGGCAACTAAGGAGTGGCTCCGTAAGAAGCATCTCAAGGTCCTGGAGTGGCCTAGCCAGTCTCCAGACCTGAACCCAATAGAAAATATTTGGAGGGAGCTGAAAGTCCGTATTGCCCAGCGACAGCCCCGCAACCTGAAGGATCAGGAGAAGGTCTGTATGGAGGAGTGGGCCAAAATCCCTGCTGCAGTGTGTGCAAACCTGGTCAAGACCTACAGGAAACGTATGATCTCTGTAATTGCAAACAAAGGTTTCTGTACCAAATATTAATCTCTGCTTTTCTGATGTATCAAATACTTATGTCATGCAATAAAATGCAAATTAATTACTTAAAAATCATACAATGTGATTTTCTGGATTTTTGTATTAGATTCCGTCTCTCACAGTTGAAGTGTACCTATGATAAAAATTACAGACCTCTACATGCTTTGTAAGTAGGAAAACCTGCAAAATCGGCAGTGTATCAAATACTTGTTCTCCCCACTGTGTGTGCGTACCTACCTACCTACCTACCTACATACCTACCTACATACCTACCTACATACATACATACATACACACACAGTGGGGGAAAAAAGTATTTAGTCAGCCACCAATTGTGCAAGTTTTCCCACTTAAAAAGATGAGAGAGAGGCCGGTACACGTCAACTATGACAGACAAATTGAGAAAAAAAATCCAGAAAATCACATTGTAGGATTTTTTATGAATTTATTTGCAAATTATGGTGGAAAATAAGTATTTGGTCACCTACAAACAAGCAAGATTTCTGGCTCTCACAGACCTGTAACTTCTTCTTTAAGAGGCTCCTCTGTCCTCCACTCGTTACCTGTATTAATGGCACCTGTTTGAACTTGTTATCAGTATAAAAGACACCTGTCCACAACCTCAAACAGTCACACTCCAAACTCCACTATGGCCAAGACCAAAGAGCTGTCAAAGGACACCAGAAACAAAATTGTAAACCTGCACCAGGCTGGGAAGACTGAATCTGCAATAGGTAAGCAGCTTGGTTTGAAGAAATCAACTGTGGGAGCAATTATTAGGAAATGGAAGACATACAAGACCACTGATAATCTCCCTCGATCTGGGGCTCCACGCAAGATCTCACCCCGTGGGGTCAAAATGATCACAAGAACGGTGAGCAAAAATCCCAGAACCACACGGGGGGACCTAGTGAATGACCTGCAGAGAGCTGGGACCAAAGTAACAAAGCCTACCATCAGTAACACACTACGCCGCCAGGGACTCAAATCCTGCAGTGCCAGACGTGTCCCCCTGCTTAAGCCAGTACATGTCCAGGCCCGTCTGAAGTTTGCTAGAGTGCATTTGGATGATCCAGAAGAGGATTGGGAGAATGTCATATGGTCAGATGAAACCAAAATATAACTTTTTGGTAAAAACTCAACTCGTCGTGTTTGGAGGACAAAGAATGCTGAGTTGCATCCAAAGAACACCATACCTACTGTGAAGCATGGGGGTGGAAACATCATGCTTTGGGACTGTTTTTCTGCAAAGGGACCAGGATGACTGATCCGTGTAAAGGAAAGAATGAATGGGGCCATGTATCGTGAGATTTTGAGTGAAAACCTCCTTCCATCAGCAAGGGCATTGAAGATGAAACGTGGCTGGGTCTTTCAGCATGACAATGATCCCAAACACACCGCCCGGGCAACGAAGGAGTGGCTTCCTAAGAAGCATTTCAAGGTCCTGGAGTGACCTAGCCAGTCTCCAGATCTCAACCCCATAGAAAATCTTTGGAGGGAGTTGAAAGTCCGTGTTGCCCAGCGACAGCCCCAAAACATCACTGCTCTAGAGGAGATCTGCATGGAGGAATGGGCCAAAATACCAGCAACAGTGTGTGAAAACCTTGTGAAGACTTACAGAAAACGTTTGACCTGTGTCATTGCCAACAAAGGGTATATAACAAAGTATTGAGAAACTTTTGTTATTGACTAAATACTTATTTTCCACCATAATTTGCAAATAAATTCATAAAAAATCCTACAATGTGATTTTCTGGATTTTTTTCCCTCATTTTGTCTGTCATAGTTGACGTGTACCTATGATGAAAATGACAGGCCTCGCTCATCTTTTTTAGTGGGAGAACTTGCACAATTGGTGGCTGACTAAATACTTTTTTCCCCCACTGTAATAATATATATATATATATATATATATATATATATATATATATATATATATATATATATATATATATATATATATATATACACACACACACACACACACACACATCTATATACACACACACATATATATATTTACTTCGACAGAGTATTGTGTACATTGTTGACAAAAAATGACAATTAAATCTATTTTAATCCCACTTTGTAACACAATAATATTTGAAAAAATCCAAGGGGTCTGAATACTTTTGCAAGGCACTGTATGGTGCCTAGTTAACTGTCCCCAGGTTTTGTATTGTGTTACATCTAAAATAGGCCATGGCAATCCCATCCCATATAGATTCCTATTACCACCGAAAGAAGAATATCGATACTGGGTCCGACAAGAGTTGGTTGGAAAAGTATTGAACGCCCATGGTATGTGGTGGTGTGTTCAAAGAGCTGCCACGATCACAGATCAAAGCAATCCCATCAGGGTCGTATTGATTCTTTCAAATGGAAGAAAAGGACTGGAAAAGGGAGGGACAAACCGCTCGTTTTAGTTCTGTTGAAAAACATTTTTCAAAATAAAAATCTAAGGTGTACCCTAATGAACACAACCCAGTCCTTTGAGGCATACATGGAACAGCTGATATTCCAGCTGATTAGGTCCTTGACGGTACAGCAGGCAGACTCTTCTAATCCCTGGGCCTCAACCCGGGCCCCAAGAGACCCTGCTCCATTATTCATAAAGGAGAGAAGTAGAGAAGGAGAGATTTTAGTTAGCCAGATCAGTCTGGCTGCACGTCACGGTGCCTCTCACATCACTACCTTTAGACTGACGTGATGGTAAGCTTCACAATAGGACACATTTTCCAGTACGGGACAGTGGGAATACAAGAGTGTATGGTGTTTGTGTTGTGATATACGTACATAAAATAACCAAGTCTAAATATAACCGCAGCAAACAAGAGAACACAGTCTCCATAGTTAAAGGAGTAATGTACTTGTGACCCGTGTCGCAATCCGACCCTCCCTTAAGGAGTGACCTGGCCTGGAGCAGTACAGGTTATAAGGTTCCACTGCAAAACAATAAAGGCAGTAGACTAGAAGAACTCCACTGACATCCAAAACCCCTATCTGAATACCAACGGAATGAAACTAGTCTCCCAGAGTTATTGAACAGTCACAGTTCTGATGTTAACTACAGTTGCCCTGTCCCTCCCTAGCCCTAATGATAGGCTACCTGTCTCCACCCAACCCGACCGTTGCTGTGTCAGCAGTCTCTCCCAGCTCCAGCTCCAGCCAGGGTGTCTGAGTGAAATCAGACCCAGCCTGTTACTACTGTACTGTTCCAGCCCGGTGCCATGGAGCAGTCAGGAGAGAGAAGGGGAGAGGTAGGAAGGGCACACAACACATCCCCTAGGTCACTTCCTTAGGTCGGTCTCTCAATGTCCCAGAGCCAAGCCAGTCTGGAAGGACATACTTTCACTAACATACGGCTGTTTATATGTGGCTTTTCAAAAGAGGAACTCTGTTATTGGAAAATTAACTTCAAGGAAATATATTAACACAGTTCTCTCGATGACATGTAACAACTTGATATTTTACGCAGACACACCAAGGTCAATACACATGACATGGACATGAACGAGTGTAATATGACCACTCTGTAATAATAATAATTTCAAAAAACTAATCTGACCTTTTTCAATTACACCTTCTCAGTGTGACCTCTTGGTGAGTGTATGTGTGACCATGGTAGTTGACCCCTTGGTGTGTATGACCCATTGCGGACTCCTCTGTGTGTGCAATCACTTGGTGTGTGTGTGCAATCACTTGGTGTGTGTGTGTGTGAGGTGTGAAGCTGTGGTTTATGACACGTATGTGTAACCATCGTAGTTGACCTCTTTGGAGAATATGACCCCTTTATTTATCCCGCCTGTTTATTAATTTAGACTGGCCCTTGGATAAATTCTGAACATTAATAAAAGATCTGCAAAAACATCCCCGCCAAAATGACAAGCACTATGGTGGTTGTCTATAGTGTGATTTCTAGCAGCATGTTGGTTCTTTTTTCTTCATATGAATTTGGCTCTAGCGTTTGAACAGTTTTAGCCACAAAATGTTATGACCCCATTTCTGAAAGCTAAGACTCTAAGGAACAAGTACATGCCTCCTGTTTCCCTCTCTGATACTCACAAGGACTCGTTGTGTGTGACAAAAAACACACCTAATGACTGAGGGAAATGAATTCAAAGCATACTTCCTTCAGACTGGAATTTGGCATTAGCTGATTTTTGTTATTTATTAAGATGCTTAGTTTTCAGATGATTTTAAAATGACCTAATTACTTTTAAATCTGCAATATGTAACTTTCTGGGCGACCCGACCAAATTCACATAGAAATAACTTTTAATAGTTATTTAAATAAAATAAAAATGGTGAGCAGCGACTTTTCAACGATGATACAAATTTTCAGTTGCACCTTGACTCACGCAAGTTGAGCACCCTCCACTTCTTTCCTAATTACTTTAAGCAACATTTAATTTTAAGAAAAGTGATTTATTGGTGGGGGCATTTTTCTCTCTCTATTAGATAGTCATTTTACTTGCTATCAAAGCTCCCATGTTGTTTTTAGCAGTCTAGGCGTCTGTGTATCCCCGCTTGCTTATGCGTTTAGTCACTTTATTATCTTGTCTAGACTTCTAAAGAAATTCTAAGCCGCTAGTTTTGGCCTCTTCTCTTTTTAACTTGGTTGTTTTTTATACAGCTCTGAAGAATAATTGCATGTGGAAAATGTCCGGCCCCCCTGCAATTAATCAATTTTTTTACATATGGCCCCCGTAAAAATATAGTTGAATAGCCCTGCCTTAGGGTATGACCACTTGGTGTGTGTGTGCCCGGTGGTTTGTGTAACCCCTGTGTGCGTTCCATGTGTGTGACCCACTTGTTCTCCAGTGTGCGGTGCTCTTGCTCCAGAGCTCTCTGGTTGCCCTTCAGGGTGGCGTGTTGGGCGATGAGCTGCTCGTACTCCGCTGCCTGTCTCTCATGCACACTCAGCAGGCGCTCGTGATCCAGCAGCACGCTCTCCCTGCCCACCCGCGCCTCCTCCCGCTGCCGCTGCCACGCCTCTGACTCACTCTCCAGTGCCCCCACCTGGCCCTGCAGCACAGCATTCTGTGCCATGAGAGATGCACTCTGGGAGTTGAGGGTGGAGTTCTCCACCTAAAGGGGGGAGACAAAGTTGTCATTTTACAACATCTATACTGGCAACAACTGACACAGCTACTCTAACTAGGAATTAGGGCTGACCACATTTAGTCGACTGGTCGATTGTTTGGTCGATAGGCTGTTGGTCGCCAGATATTTTTTGGGTTGAGCGGTCACAAATATATATATTTTTTCCATGGCACACGAGCAGGGCTGCCACTGACAAAAAAATAATCTTGGTTGACCAAGCATCGTCTGATCTTTCAACCAATCAATTGGGAGACATTTTTAAACTTGTATTCTTCCATATATTGACACATCCTATGTGTTTTAATCAAATCAACTATATTCACTGAGATTTGATTAAATAATTAGGACACACAAATGACTAGAGGGAGTCTGACCAGCAATTGATTTGATTGACAGCGAGTGACTGTATAACTAGCACCCGTTCTCTCACTCTCCTACCTGCTGCAGCAACCACCACAGAACATCAAGTATTACTAGAGAATGTTGGTTATGTAATTATTACTCCAGAATTTCCGTTATTCCAGAGGATGATTCGGACGGGATTAACTTTTTCCGAACTGCCCCCTGGAGGTTTTTATTCTAGGCATGAAGAAACAGTATTTCAACATTTCCAGGTGATGGGGCCACACTGATAACTCCAGCTTGGTTCCCAAGTTTCTAAACCATACCAAACCACTTTCCTATAGTGTCACCATAATATTTGAATTGAGGAAGTGTGATCATAATCATTAGGATATTTTAGCGATCTGCTGTACGTCCTAAATGCCCCCCAGCCTTCAGATTGTGAGCTAAACAGTGCAATTGCACATGAGATGCATTTTAAGGCTATGGATGAGAACGTTAACTTATCATTTCCAAACGTTTAGGTCAGTTGTATGCTGCTGCTTTGCAATCTATTAATAGCAAGGGTTGCATTAAATAGTCTCAATATTTGTTACTGATGCATTTGGCAATATTCAATTCATACGCACAAAACATATAAACGAAAGCATTCACTGTGAAAGTTGACAGGCTACATGTAGGCCATTCATATATAGCTTAGCCACAGCACATCCAATCAGTCATTGTTTTCTTGCGCAAACCGCAAGCAACACCTGTCAAACTCAGACATTTATCTCAAAACACAGGGATGTCGATTCGCACGGGACTAGTATTATCAGAGGACCTTGGAGTTCCCCAAAAACCGGAAGGTTATTCTGGCTGGAATTGTTACTCTCCTGCCATGTAAAAATGACTGACATGGCAGATTCGGACGGGACTGAAATTACAGATGTGGTGTTTTGTGCTCGTGCACATAATTACATTACCCGACCTCCCCCAGTAAAAGTAATACCGTCCGAATAGCGCACAATAGGGCCTGACCTATAGCCAGGGCCGGTCTTTGCCTTTCTGCCGCCATAGGTGAGACCAAAAAATGCCACCGCCCCGCAAAACTACAATTGTCCCAAGTAAGCAAAATGACGTTGAAAAGACAACTAAAATAAGTATTTTCCAGACGTTGAAGTTAGTTTCAATTTAGTTTCTGAATGAAAGGTGAAAAGGTATTTTCCATATGTTTAAAATATATATTTTCCAGGACGCTGAAAAGGAATATTTTCTGGACGTTGAAAAATATATATTTTCACAGCGATGAAATCAGGTTGATTTTCGGTTCTTAATGAAAGTTGAAAATATTTATTTTCCTGATGTTGAAAAGACGTATTTTAAAGATGTTGAAAATATATATATATATATTTTTTTTTACAGATGTTCAAATCAGGCTAATTTTTGGATCTGAATGAAAGTTGAAAAGAAGTCATTCATAGATGTCTAGGTTTGGACCAAATCAATGCTGGTCCAGAAGGACTAAATCTGAAACAAACATAAACATCTATGATTGGTTCAGATTTGATCCGGACCGGACGATGAGGTCTATGATTGGACCAAAAACCAATGTCCGTGGATGTGGAAATCAAGGCCGGTCCGGAACTGCACCAAAAAAAAAACATCCAAAAGGCATCAGCTACCCAACTTTGTCAGGAGTTATCGCGAGCCTATTTGCAATGTGTTTACACAGCGGGAAAGGCAGAAGTATTTTCTTTTTAGTTATGATCAGCTTGTCAAAAAATGTATGGATACAAACTTGAAACCACTGATCATTACAATGGGGTGAAACTCCTGGACATGCTGCTGCCTCCGCAGGATTGTTCTCAAAACCAATATGCTGGTTAACTTTGCTATTATGCACATAGCAACATGGTCTAGGAAAAGGCGCCAATTCAACAGCACACTGATGTGTTTCAGAACCGTGGACAGCGACCACTATCCATTGAGGGCGAAAGTGTATTTGTTGGAAAAAAATATATATACTGTTTTTATTAGTGTTGCACCATTATTCTTATGTAATATAACCATATACAATTTCAGTAGCACGTCTTAGAGTGATGGACGGTGCCACCCCCACAGCCTCCACAATGGATCAGTCCACTCAGACAGGCGCGAATCAGACGGGTGTCTTGTAAACCATGATATTATATATTTAAAAAAAATTTGCTAAAGAAATGTCGGTTGACCAACAACCTATCGACCAAACAATCGACCAGTCGACTAAATGGGGTCAGCCCTACACACGAGACACCTGTCTGAATAGCGCCTGTCTCAGTGGACAGTCCAAGAAGAAGGGGAGTGTTGCTAAGATGCACAAGGCATGTCTCTCTCTCCAGAACACGCTCTCTCCCGCCAATCCGTGCGCATTCATTGTTTCATAACTTCATTGTGTTAATTCTTTGCCCTTTGATCAATTCCCCATTACATATCTCACCAGTAGTACATTTACCATTAATCCCCATCTTTTCTAAATGTACAATGTTTGTTTGGTTACGGTAAATTCTGTTAATGCATTCAATATGTTATTATTACAGTTGTTTAGCGTTCTCATTGTCAGTATGGCGTGGACACGTTGTTTGCGAGGCTAAAAACCTATGCTAGGCTTGTGAGGAACAAGTTTTGGTTCATTTCATTCACTATTTTTTTATTTGATATTTTTACCCCCTTTTTCTCCCCAATTTCGATCGTCTCATCGCTGTAACTCCCCAACGGGCTCGGGAGGCGAAGGTCAAGTCATGCGTCCTTCGAAACATGACCCGCCAAACCACGCTTCTTAACACCCGCCTGCTTAACCCGGAAGTCAGCCGCACAAATGTGTCGGAGGTAACACCGTTCACCTGACAACCGAGGTCAGCCTGCAGGCGCCCGGCCCGCCACAAGGAGAGCGCGATGAGCCAAGTAAAGCCCCCCGGCCAAACCCTCCCCTAACCCGGACGACGCTAGGCCAATTGTGCACCGCCCTATGGGACTCCCGATCACGGCCGGTTGTGATACAGCCCGGGATCGAACCTGGGTCTGTAGTGACGCCTCTACCACTGTGATGCAGTGCCTTAGACCACTGCGCCACTCGTGAGGCCCTCTCCATTTACGAGTTTTGTCAATGTATTTTTTCTTTTGTTTGAAGCGCTCCTATCAATGTTGAGTACTGATGCACACTTGATTACGCATAGAAGTTGGCATAGCCTACCTGACCTGCACGCAAATGTATAAATGTGAGGGGTGAGAAACAAAAACAGCCAGAGTTGTTTACAAGTTCAGAGAGAGAAGCACAGTAGCTGTGAGAACATGTTGGAGCAGAGCCCCTGTAGTATGTATTGTAGTACCTGTAGCTTGGCTGTCTGTGTGTGCAGGGCCGTGTTTTGCTCTTGCAGTACAGCAGCCTGCCTCTGTACGGCCATAGTCTGGGCATTCAGCTGACTGTTCTGGGTGTCCAGCTGTCTAAGCTGCTCCTTCAGAAGGTGCTTCTCTGTCTGCAGGGTTGCATTCTGAAGGGAAAGGCATCTAGGTAAGATTAAACATGGACAATATACCATTTGTATAACAGTTTGCCAGATGCTTGCATATGCCAGTATGTTTTGACAGTTACAATAGTAGCTGTTTTGCTACTCATGTTCTAAGCATTCACAGCATTTACTGTATGGGTTGAGGGATCTACAGGAAGAAGTCCTTGGCAGATGGTCAACTAAACATTCCACCCTTTTAATTCTATCCCTTCCTTTATCATCCATTTCCATTCCCACTCACGTTCTTCTCTATGTCGATGAGGCGGTCCTTGAGTTTGAGGAGATCCGCGGTGGCCTCTCTCGTCTCTGTCTCCCACTTCTCCTGACCAGGCCTGCCCTGGCTCTGGCCCTGACCTGCAGCCTGCTGTGTGGAGCTCTGGGTCTGGGAGTGGGCCTCCTCCTCCTCCTGCCTCTGTCTCAGAGCCTCCAGAGTTTTCTTCACCTGATCACCACAACACAGAGGACAACAGTGTGAGCAAAAAGATTGTAAGTGAAAAAGTGACATAAAAGAGAGTAGAAGTAAGAGTGAAAGTGAAAGTGTGAGAAAGACTATGAGTATGTGCAAGAGTATGATTAGTAGACGATGTGTGTGCTCCAAATATGTTTGAGTATGTACACGTGTGTGTGAGTGAATAACAGAGGCGTATAGGTACATACGGTGCTGAGTTCTGTGCGTAGCTGCTGGTTGAGACTACTAGACTCCTCCAGTCGAGATTCCAGCCCCTGAATCTTCTCCTCACGGATCTCCAGAGTCTTCTTCAGCGTTGACTCAATCCTACTCTCCAAGATCTTGAACTTACTGAGGGGGCAAAGAGACAGGCAAACAGTATGTCTAAATGTTATATCAAGGCCAATAGAAAGTCCCAGACACAAATGAATTCATTGTGATTCAAATTAATCAGCAACGTGGGGCTTTTATTTAAGTCCCATGATGATCAAACATAATAGAAATTCCTGCAGAACGATGTGCATTTTCTTATGTTTTTGAGGCTGAATGTACCATTTATTGTACCTTATTTCTTCTAATACCAAGAGTGAGAGACTGCATGTGTGGCAGTTATCAAGCCTTCACTTAGGAAAGACTAGAGTAATACTATGGGATATCGCGTTTGAGACAGAGGTTTGCATGCGGAGGTCATTTTGAAAAGTTTTACAACCCTATTACTTTAATCTGTACTAAGGAGGAGTCACTGTTAGCTTTGGACTGAAAAACCCTTGCCACAAGAGGTGGAACCCAATATCATCATGAGTGTGCAGTGCACATGAGATTACTAAGTGCTGTAGAAATGTAACTCAGGGTGGTGAATTTCTTTGACGTTAACTGATTAGTGGCAGCTTGGGTTTCATTGAGCACTAACAGCTGGAGAAGGAATGTCTTTGCTTTTTAATCCAATCCCCCTGGGTGACACCCACCTGGGTCTCTAGCTCTTACCTTGAGAGGTGCCTCTTAAAACATCATCAGAGACTGAAGAAAAACCCTCAAGAAGAGGCCCTCCTTTGGGGCAATACAAGTCTTTCAAAGAGTCTTATTTCATAGATTTTCCCTTCAGAAAGGCTGGAGTTCAAAGGAGTGTACAGTTCAGCTATTCCCACAGTGTTGTCCTGCTGTTTGCCTCACCAGACCTGGGGTTCAAATAGTATTAGTTTTTTTCATTCAAATACTTTAGCTGCGCTTGATTTAACTTGTCTGATACAATTGAACCAATGGAATAGTCCCAAAAGTGTACAACCTCACCCATATGGCACCCCAGGCAGGCTCAATCAAACGCTCAAAATATTTGAAAGAAAACTAATACTATTTGAACCCAGGTATGGTGCTCCCTGTCACTGTATGTTACCTCACCCAGCATGACTAGATTCTAGAACGCCTCTGCTCTCCAGGGAAAATTCCAGAGAAAATTAAACTGCTGCAAGACACAGAGGAAAGGAAACAATCTTTCCCCTGTAATTTCCCCATAGTCTTATGAAAATGGTTGTAATAGAACACTGCAAACGTGCTGCTGGAGATCGCTCACACACACACTTTTGAGTCAAACACGTGTTTATGCCACCACTGCACCACAATAAAAATAGAGCCTAAATAAAAGATGGCGAAATAAAGCTGGAGAGAAAGAAATGAAACACCGGTTTGAACAGAAACCAGGACTCACCCACTATACCTGGCACAGGAGGTCGGTAAGGAGCTTGGGCAGAATCCATTAAAGCAAATAACTCTGGCTTAACAAGAAAAGCCCCTTTACTTTGAGCTTTACAACTCAAAACCAATATGCCCCCTGTTCCTCATCCAAAGTGGACATTGGGCACACATTCTCACAAGCACACAGACAAATGCTATAAATACAAAATACCTGTTACAAAATGCAAAAAAATGCCTGCAGTATTATGAGGGTAGGGTATTGAGGCCTACTCGTGGTTATGGGTCTGAGACACTAGTAGTGTGATGGCATGGTGGTACAGTGTAGATGTAGTTAGTGTGATGGCATGGTGGTACAGTGTAGATGTAGTTAGTGTGATGGCATGGTGGTACAGTGTAGATGTAGTTAGTGTGATGGCATGGTGGTACAGTGTAGATGTAGTTAGTGTGATGGCATGGTGGTACAGTGTAGATGTAGTTAGTGTGATGGCATGGTGGTACAGTGTAGATGTAGTTAGTGTGATGGCATGGTGGTACAGTGTAGATGTAGTTAGTGTGATGGCATGGTGGTACAGTGTAGATGTAGTTAGTGTGATGGCATGGTGGTACAGTGTAGATGTAGTTAGTGTGATGCATGCTGGTAGACAGTGTAAAGCCTCTTACTTGTCTTCACAGCTGTGCTCCTCCTGCAGTAGTTTCTCTCTGTTCAGGCCGATCTTCTCCAGCTCGTGGCTCAGTGTCTCCAACTCGTTCCATTGCTGCTGCACCTTTAGCTTCTCATTCACCAGGTCCTGGACAGGACAGAATACACACAATATAACCCTGACTCTACTGACCTGTCTTCCAAACAGTTTTAGAGAGGCAGTTGTAGCAGAAATGCAGATCTAGATACGTACTTGAAACACGCTGTACATCCACTATACGGACAGGCTACTGTAACCCTTACTGCACTTTTAGAGGCCCATTGACATAAGCAGAGTATGCACAGAATACTAATCTCTCATGGTATGATCCACAATTTATATCAAACTAATCTTTATCCAATCATCGGCACCCTGCATTTATTTTTCTACTTGAACTCCATGTACTGTATGGTACATCTAGACTGAACAAAAATATAAATGCAACATGCAACGAGATTATACTGAGTTACAGTTCATATAAGGAAATCAGTCAATTGAAATGAATTCATTAGGCCCTAATCTCTGGATTTCACATGGCTGGGAATACAGATATGCATCTGTTGGTCACAGATCCCTTACAAAAAAAGGAAGGATCAGAAAACCAGTCAGTGACCACCATTTGCCTGATGCAGCACGGCATCTCCTTCGCATAGAGTTGATCAGGCTGTTGATTGTGGCCTGTGGAATGTTGTCCCACTCCTCTTCAAATCGCTGTGAAAGTTGCTGGATATGGGCGGTAATTGGAACACGCTGTCGTACACGTCGATCCAGAGCATTCCAAACATGCTCAATGGGTGACATGTCTGGTGAGTATGCAGGCCATGGAAGAACTGGGACATTTAGAGCTTCCAGGAATTGTGTACAGATCCTTGCGACATGGGACCATGCATTATCATGCTGAAACATGAGGTGATGGCGGTGGATGAATGGCACGACAATGGGCCTCAGGATCTCGTCACGGTATCTCTGTGCATTCAAATTTCCATTACAATGTGGGGCTGGGGAGGTTACACGTGGTCTGCATTTGTGAGGCCGGTTGGACGGACTGCCACATTTTCTAAAACGACGTTGGAGGCGGCTTATGCACATTCAATTATCTGCCAACACCTTTGGTGGACATTCTTGCAGTCAGCATGCCAATTGCCTGCTCCCTCAAAACTTCAGACATCTGTGGCATTGTGTTGTGTGACAAAACTGCACATTTTAGAGTGGTCTTTTATTGTCTCGAGTACAAGGTGTACCTCTAATGATTATGCTGTTTAATCAGCTTCTTGATTTGCCACACCTGTCAGGTGGATGGATTATCTTGACAAAGGAGAAATGCTTCCTAACAGGGATGTAAACAAATTTGTCTACAACATTTGAGAGAAATAAGCTTTTTGTGCGTATGGACCATTTCTGGGATCTATTATTTAAACTCATGAAACCAACACTTTACATGTTGCGTTTTATATTTTATACTGCATAGTACATGTATTTCTCTACAATCTACTGTAGCCTATATTATCCTCAGACCTTCCCCATACATACCTCTCGGAGTGTGGCCAGGGTCCTCTTGTCAATGGTTGCCTGTTTCTGCAGCTCCTTGCTCTCCCTCTCCAGCTCTTTGACCTTCCCAGTCGCCTCCTTTAACCTCTCCAGCTCCTTCTCCTTGGTGATGCCCTCCTTCTCCAGGGAGGCCAGCCTCAGAGCACTCTCCTCCAGCACCCCTTCTTTCACCTCCAGCTGCAGCCACAGCCTCCGTGCCTCCTTCTCCAGCTGCTTCCTCTCCTGCAATTTAATTTAATTTAATTTAATTCAGGAGTACGTAAGACAACAACTACAGTTTACACATAACACACAGACATACCTTCTCTGACTGGCCCAGCTCTTGCTCCAGCCCCCTCTTCTCCTTCTCCACTGCCTCCAGGCATTTCCCCGCCAGGCACACCTCCTCCAGCTCCCTTCTTAGCCCCCCTGTCTCGGCCTCTGTCTGCCTCAGCTCCCTCTCCAGCCCCTGGATCTTGGTGGAGCTGTTGTCCAGGCTCTGCTGGAGCCTCTGGTTCTCCAGACCCAGGCTGCTGACGCTCAGCTCCAGCCTCTCCGCCCTCTTCCCCTGGGACCTCAGCTCCTCCACGGACCGAGCCAGCTCCTCCCTCTCCCTCTCTAGCTCCCCATTCTCCTGCTGGAGCTGGGCCAGGCGTACGGCGGCCGGCCGGAGAGATTCCACGGTGCGGCGGAGCTCCAGGTTCTCCTGGTCCAGGAGGCTGTGGTCCTTCTCCAGAGTGGCCAGGCGCAGGCTGATGTTCTGGGCCGTGTCCACCTGCTTCTTCAGCCTCCGGTTGTCCTGCTCCAGGCTGGCATTGTCTCTCTCCAGGGCCTCGGCCCGGTCACACGTGATCTTCAGAGACGCCACCTATGTTTACATTTACAGTTTAGTCATGTTGCAATGATTGTGATATGTGGTTGTTTTACCTAAGTTGAATTCACTGATTGCAACCCACAATCACTGCAAGTAAAACATTATTCAAAAATAGCTACAAATATGGCAAAACAAGTGCGAGTGCAAGAATGACTTCCCTCACCTCCCTCTGAAGCTGCTCTTTACTCCTCTCCAAGATGTGCAGTCTCCCTCTCCAGCTCCTCACAGCGCTCCCCCCTCTCCCTCAGTGTCTCCAGCTCCTTAATGGACTGCTTGCCCTGGGCCTCTAGCCGGGCCAGCTTGGACCCGGTGTCGGTGATGGTCTGGTGGAGGACGCGGTTCTCAGTCTCCACCTCCCTAACCCGAGCCTCACTGTCGGCCTGGGTGCGCTGACGCAGGGAGCTCACCGCCTGGCTCAGGTGCTCCTTCTCCTGCTCCAGCTCGGAGATCTGGGGAACACGCATAAAGACAGTCAGGTGGGATAACAGTGACATAAGAGGGACCACCGATGACAGGGTGACACACACACACACAATCAGTGGTGCATTTCGCATGTGTAAGGTTAGAAGTACAGTGTGTACCTGTCTGTCCTTGTCTGCCTGCAGTGTCTCCAGAGCCTTATCCAGTTTCTGCTTGTCTTTGAGCAGATCTTCCCCAAGACCCTCCATGTCCTGGGTGGTCTGCTTCTCCTGGTCCAGCAGGGTCTGCAGACGCTCCAGCTAGGGAAGAAACGTAGGAAACAAGCAGACACAAAATGGATGACAATCATGATAGAAAGCACAAACACAAAATTGATGAAATTCATCAATCCACAGCAAAGAGGTCATAAATATGAAAGCATATGTCAGAAGTATGTGTGAGAGATCGTAAAGTAAAGTATTCAGACCCCTTGACTTTTTTTTCACTTTGTTACGTTATAGCCATATTCTAAAATGGATTAAATAAAAATCCTCATCAATCTACACACAATACCCCATAATGACAAAGCGAAAACAGATTTCGATTTTATTTACATAAGTATTCAGACCCTTTGCTATGAGACTCGAAATTGAGCTCAGGTGCATCCTGTTTCCATTGATCATCCTTGAGATGTTTCCACAACATGATTGGAGTCCACCTGTGGTAAATTCAATTGATTGGACATGATTTGGAAAGGCACACACCTGTCTATATACAGTTGAAGTCGGAAGTTTACATACACCTTAACCAAATACATTTAAACTCCGTTTTTCACAATTCCTGACATTTAATCCTAGTAGAAATTCCCTGTCTTAGGTCAGTTAGGATCACCACTTTATTTTAAGAAAGTGAAATGTTAGAATAATAGTAGAGAGAATGATTTATTTCAGCTTTTACTTCTTTCATCACATTCCCAGTGGGTACGAAGTTCACATACACTCAATTAGTATTTGGTAGCATTGCCTTTCAATTGTTTAACTTGGGTCAAACTTCCACAAGCTTCCCACAATAAGTTGGGTGAATTTTGGCCCATTCCTCCTGACAGAGCTGGTGTAACTGAGTCAGGTTTGTAGGCCTCCTTGCTCGCACATGCTTTTTCAGTTCTGCCCACAAATGTTCTATAGGATTGAGGTCAGGGCTTTGTGATGGCCACTCCAATACCTTGACTTTGTGGTACTTAAGCCATTTTGCCACAACTTTGGAAGTATGCTTGGGGTCATTGTCCATTTGGAAGACCCATTTGCGACCAAGCTTTAACATCCTGACTGATGTCTTGAGATGTTGCTTCAATATATACACATAATTTTCCTTCCTCATGATGCCATCTATTTTGTGAAGTGCACCAGTCCCTCCTGCAGCAAAGCACCCCCATAGCATGATGCTACCACCCCCGTGCTTCACGGTTGGGATGGTGTTCTTCGGCTTGCAAGCTGCCACGTTTTTCCTCCAAACATAACGATGGTCATTATGGCCAAACAGTTCTATTTTTGTTTCATCAGACCAGAGGACATTTCTCCAAAAATAATGATATTTGTCTGGCTTTTTGATGGCGGTTTTGGAGCAGTGGCTTCTTCCTTGCTGAGCGGCCTTTCAGGTTATGTCGATATAGGACTTGTTTTACTGTGGATATAGATACTTTTGTACCTGTTTCGACCAGCATCTTCACAAGGTCCTTTGCTGTTGTTCTGGGATTGATTTGCACTTTTCGCACCAAAGTACGTTCATCTCTAGGAGACAGAACGCGTCTCCTTCCTGAGCGGTATGACGGCTGCGTGGTCCCATGGTGTTTATACTTGCGTACTATTGTTTGTACAGATGAACGTGGTACCTTCAGGCGCTTGGAAATTGCTCCCAAGGATGAACCAGACGTGTGGAGGTCTACAATTTTTTTTCTGAGGTCTTGGCTGATTTCTTTTGATTTTCCCATGATGTCAAGCAAAGAGGGACTGAGTTTGAAGGTAGGCCTTGAAATACATCCACAGGTACACCTCCAATTGACTCAAATGATGTCAATTAGCGTATCAGAAGCTTCTAAAGCCATGACATCATTTTCTGGAATTTTCCAAGCTGTTTAAAGTCACAGTCAACTTAGTGTATGTAAACTTCTGACCCACTGGAATTGTGATACAGTGAATTAATCGTTCTGTAAACAAGTGTTAAAAAATTACTTATGTCATGCACAAAGTAGATGAACTAACTGACTTGCCAAAACTATAGTTTGTTAACAAGAAATTTGTGGAGTGGTTGAAAAACAAGTTTTAATGACTCCAACCTAAGTGTATGTAAACTTCCGACTTCAACTGTAAAGGTCCCACAGTTGACAGTGCATGTCAGAGCAAAAACCAAGCCAAGAGGTCGAAGGAATTGTCCGTAGTGCTCCGAGACAGGATTGTGTCGAGGCACAGATCTGGGGAAGTGTACCAAAAAAATTACACAGCATTGAAGGTCCCCAAGAACACAGTGGCCTCCATCATTCTTAACTGAAATAAGTTTGGAACCACCAAGACTCTTCCTAGAGCTGGCCACCCGGCCAAACTGAGCAATCGGGGGAGAAGGGCCTTGGTCAGGGAGGTGACCAAGAACCTGATGGTCACTGACAGAGCTCCAGAGTTCCTCTGTGGAGATGTGAGAACCTTCCAGAAGGAAAACCATCTCTGTAGCACTCCACCAATCAGGCCTTTACAGTAGTAAAAGGCACACAACAGCCCACTTGGAGTTTGCCAAAAGGCACCTAAAGGACTCAGACCATGAGAAACAAGATTCTCCGGTCTGATGAAACCAAGATTGAACTCTTTGGCCTGAATGCCAAGCGTCACACGTCTGGAGGAAACATGGCACCATCCCTATGGTTAAGCATGGTGGTGGCAGCATCATGCTGTGGGGATGTTTTTCAGCGGCAGGGACTGGGAGACTAGTCAGGATCGAGGGAAAGATGAACGGACCAAAGTACAGAGAGATCCTTGATGAAAACCTGCTCCAGTGCGCTCAGGACCTCAGACTGGGGCGAAGGTTCACCTTCCAACAGGACAACAACCCTAAGCACACAGCCAAGACAACGCAAGAGTGGCTTCGGGACTCTGAATGTCCTTGAGTGGCCCAGCCAGAGCCCGGACTTGAACATCTCTGAAGAAACCTTGACAGAGCTTGAGAGGATCTTCAGAGAAGAATGGGAGAAACTCCCCAAATACAGGTGTGCCAAGCTTGTAGCGTCATACCCAAGACGACTCGAGGCTGTAATCGCTGCCAAAGGTGCTTCAACAAAGTACAGAGTAAAGGGTCTGAATACTTATGTAAATGTAATATCAGTTTTTTATTTTTAATATATTTGCAAACATTTCTAAAAACCTTTTTTCACTTTGTCATTATGGGGTATTGTGTGGGTAAAAAACGAATTATGAGGGGAAAAAACAAATTAATCAATTTTAGAATAAGGCTGTAACGTAACAAAATGTGGAAAAAGTCAAGGGGTCTGAATACTTTCCTAATGCACAGTACATTAAAAACATCCACACCGGTGCTGGGCCAATGCCGAATACTAGAGAAAGAAAGATTGCATTTGGTATACGGTGCTCTGCTCCCACCAGCATGCTTTAATTTAACTGCATCACAAAACATACTGCAATGCATACTGCAGACTAACTATATAGGGCATGTGGGACCAGCATATTGTATCCCACAACACACAGACTGTCAATCTATAAAGTATGTGGGACCAGCATACAGTACCTTCTGCATGCTTCCTTTCTGTATTCAAAGTGTGTGTGTCCAACCCTGTGCGTACGTGCATCAGAGTGGGTGATCGTGCATGTATGCAAGTCTGTCTGTGTGTGTGTGTGTGAGCACGTCTGTCTACATTATCTGTGTGTATGTGTGCAATCAGTGTGTGTGCGTGTCTGTACAGTACCTTCTTGCGGAGGCCCTGGTTGTCACTCTCCAGCTCCAGGGTATGTAGCCGGCCCTCCTGCAGACTTAGGGAAGCCTCTCTGAGCTCCTGGATAGTGCTCTGCAGACCCTGGTTCTCTTTCTCCAGCTTCAGCAGACGGCTTGACGCAGACTCGTTCAGCTCAAACACAAACGACTTGCGCGCTGCACAGGGGGGGAAGAGAGGGAGCTTGATTTATCCAATGCATTTGTGTACTTGTACAGTACGAGACTGGGATCATAAGTATGTGTTTATTTATTTAGAATAGTGGCTGGAAGTGATTTTGAGAGAGCAGCTTTGGCTGCTTGCATAATATACATTTTCGTTTTGAGTGTGAATGTGCATGTAAAGTTTGAGTCAGCCACATCATAGCACACACTGTAGATTTGTATATTATAAGTATTGTGTGTAGATTTATATAATCCATGTGTTGACAGTTAGAGGATCAGGTGCTTCACTGTGATAAATGTGAGGTTGAGGGAAACAGCTGAGCCAGCTGCTGAGTCACTATATTACCTTTCTGACATTACAGAGTGAAACATTAACTTCAACACAGAGGCCAAAATATAATCCCTCACACACACACCAATGCAAAGACCTGTAGCGCCAATCTATTGCACTGTTCACCCTCTCGAATCAAACAGAAAATATGACACAGAACTCTTCTCTCTAATTCAAGTATCAACAGCATAGTGTTTGAAATGAATTTCTTATTTAGGTTGCACCACAAGCTCTGGCAGGAGTCAATGAGATTTTGACTTTTCAGTATTTTCCGTCCAAATTCTCCATCAGCCACTAATGGAAGAGGATTTATACGTGTTGGCTGTCAGCAGAATAATATAATATAATATATACAATTTAGCAGACACTACAGGGACTACATGCGTGCATACATTTTACGTATGGGTGGCCCCGGGAAATGAACCTACGAACTGAACCATACAGGACCACAACTCAAAGTGATGTAGCTGGGGAAAAACCTACACATGTTTAGTGTGTGTGTGTGTATGCATATGTGTGTTGTGTGTGTGATTTTACTGTCAATGTTGTCGTTGTTCTTGGCAAGCTGCTCCAGCTCCCAGCCAAGGTGGGCAGACTCGTTCATGCTCTGTTTCTGAGAGATCTCCAGCAGCATGTTCTCTTCTATCAACTCCTCCAGGCGCTTCTTATCTGTGTCCCGGTCCTGAGAGGGACAGCAGGGTGAGTCAGACGCACACACCAACATATACACAGTTACAGCGCATTCGAAAAAGTATTCAGACACCTTGACTTTTTCCACATTGTTACGTTACAGCCTTATTCTAAAATTGATCAAATAAATTTTTCCCCCTAATCAATCTACACACAATACCCCATAAAAAATAAACTGAAACACCTTATTTACATAATTATTCAGACTATTTGCTATGAGAGTCAAAATGTTGCTTAGGTGCATCCTGTTTCCATTGATCATCCTTGAGATGTTTCTACAACTTGATTGGAGTCCACCTGTGGTAAATGAAATTGATTTGACATGATTTGGAAAGGCACACACCTGTCTATATATGGTCCCACAGTTAACAGTGCATGTCAGAGCAAAAACCAAGCCATGAGGTCAAAGGAATTGTTTGTAGAGCTCCGGGACAGGATTGTGTCGAGGCACAGATCTGGGGAAAGGTACCAAAAAATGTCTGCAGCATTGAAGGTCCCCAAGAACACAGTGGCCTCCATCATTCTTAAATGGAATTAGTTTAGAACCACCAAGACTCTTTCTTTCGCACCTAAAGGACTCTCAGACCATGAGAAACAAGATTCTCTGGTCTGATGAAACCAAGATTGAACTCTTTGGCCTGAATGCCAAGCGTCACATCTGGAGGAAACCTGGCACCTACCCTACGGTGAAGCATGGCGCTGGCAGCATCATACTGTGGGGATGTTTTTCAGCGGCAGGGACTGGGAAACTAGTCAGGATCGAGGGACAGATGAACGGAGCAAAGTACAGAGAGATCCTTGATGAAAACCTGCTCCAGAGCGCTCAGGACCTCAGAGTGGGGCGAAGGTTCACCTTCCAACAGAACAACGACCCTAAGCACACAGCCAAGACAACGCAGGAGTGGCTTCGGGACAAGTCTCTGAATGTCCTTGAGTGGTCCAGCCAGAGCCCGGTCTTGAACCCGATCGAACATCTCTGGTAGACCTGAAAATATCTGTGTAGCGACGCTCCCCATCCAACCTGACAGAGCTTGAGAGGATCTTCAGAGTAGAATGGGAGAAACTCCCCAAATACAGGTGTGCCAAGCTTGTAGAGTCATACCCAAGAAGACTAGAGGCTGTAATCGCTGCCAAAAGTGCTTCAACAATGTACTGAGTAAAGGGTCTGAATACTTATGTAAATGTGATCTGTTATTTTTTTAAAATACATTTGCAGAAATTTCTAAAAACCTGTTTCTGCTTTGTCATTATGGGGTATTGTGTATAGATTGATGAGGGGAAAAAACTATTTAAACCATTTTAGAATAAGGCTGTAACGTAACAAAATGTGGAAAAAGTTAAGGGGTCTGAATACTTTCCGAATGCACTGTATACACACACTGCACTGACATATAGCATACACTGACATATAGCATACACTGACATATAGCATACACTGACATATAGCGCACACAGATGGGCAGACAAACGGACCAATCCCTATTGCACTTCTTACCATCTCCATGTCGTGCAGTTTGGACCGCAGCTGCAGGTTCTCCTTCTCCAACTCGTGTAGTTTGTCACAGCGCCCCCTGGCAGCTCCCAGCTGCTCCTCCAGCATGGCTTTGGTATCCATCAGAGTCACGTTGTCCTCTCTCAGCTCCTGGAAACAAACACAGAAGAAACACAGACAAACTGTCAGATGGAAACAGAGTAGGGTTGACCCCATTTAGTCGACTTGTCGATTGTTTGGTATAGGCTGTTGATTGACAGAGATTTTTTTTTTTTGGCACACGAGACACCTGTCTGATTCACACCTGTCTCAGTGGACTAATCCATTGAGGAGGCTGCGGGGATGCTACGGTCCAAGAAAAAAGGGAGTGTGGCTAAGATGCACAAGGTACTTACAGTATCTCTCCTGAATGCGCTCTCTCCCGCCATTTCGTGTGCATTCATGGTTTCATAAACTATGTGAATTGTTTGCCCTTTGATTGGTAGTGTCTATCAATTCCCCATTACTTATTTCACCACGGACACGTTGTTTGTAGCGCTCACAACCCATGCTACACTTGTGAGAAACAAGTTTCAGGTTATTTCATTCCATTTACGAGTTTTGTCAATTTATTCATTGTCTTATGTTTGGAGCGCTCCTGTCAACGTTGAATAAGGACGCACACCTGATTACGCATGTAGAAGTAGGCCTAGGCTACCTGGCCTGTGCGCAAATGTAGGCCATAAATGTGTCTGATAGTATTTCTGATTGTCTTAACTCACCACCACTAATGAGCTGTGGAGCTTCTCAAAGTATTTTTTTCTTCACCTTAAACAGCAAGTAAACAAAGTCTGTCTTTATTATCCGTTGAGAATGACAATAGTTCCTCAATGTATTTGAACAATTTTCCAGCTCTCTCCCTATTGATCACCACTCGGCATGAATGGGAAAATTGTAATGCTCTGATCCAGTGGAAACATCATAAAATACCTAATTACTTCTTATTCCTTGCACAAATAGCCTACAGCTGTGTCTCTCCTGAGCTCACTGGCGCGGGAAACTGAGGGCCCAGAATATTTTATACAACGTTGGAGGTTTGCTAGCGCGCGCTTTGGGCCAGACTCAGCTGATACAATGTTTCAAGTTCATTGCAGACAGGCCATGCGTAGTCAATGTGATTTATAGGATATTTATTTTTAAATCAGGATATTTTCTACCTGCAGGCTGCAATGTTTTTATTTGTTGGCTTTATGTAGGCTATTTTTACATTGTTGGCAATGGCAATAGAAGTTAATTTTTAGATTTGTATCATTTAGATTTAGTTAGAATTTAGATTAACCACATGACTATGATTTTGACACTATTATAAATTAAATGAAACTGTTCCACGAAAATGTGCATATGAAAATCATAATTGGCAAGCAGATCGGTAGAAATTGTAAAAAATTAATTGGAGCTCCAAATGGAAATGGATGCCGCCCGCTGGTGTAGCCTATTACCAGCAACTTCAGGAGCGTAATGGCAGAATCTGCAAAGGCCAGCAGCAGCGGAAGAAGACGTTTTTTTTCTTCTTCTGGTTAGGCTCTTGATCTCTGGCGCCCTTGAGTCATTTGTGTGTCTTAATGATTTAATCAAACAGCGAACTTAAAGCATCAGACAAGTTCAGTAGATATAGTTGATTTTATTAAAAACACATAGGGTGTGTCTATATATGGAAAAATACAAGTTTACAATTTTCGACCAATCGATTGGTCGAAAGAAAAGATTACTCTTGGTCGACGCAGATGTTTTGCGGGGGTGGGGGACAGCCCTAAAACAGAGGGACATATACATACAGCATGTTCAAGGGGACCAGCCTGAGACGCTGTGCAGATTTTCTCATCTTGATCACATAATGAGTAGTTATTTGGGAAAGCAAGGTGATTTGTAGATTAGCGATTCCGTTCAGTCTGACTGCAATGTAGTCAATATTCTCAGTAAGGAGACAGTGTGAAATATAAATGAGTCAGAGGCTGAGACGGAGACAGTGGGAAATAGTGGTTCAAAGGCCTGCCATTGACAGCTGTGGAGCTCCCTGCCTGGACAAACTCAAAAATGCTGCTGATCAGGAGGTGCCATTGTTCTCCTGTGACAGAGACAGCAGGGGTTCTAGTCAATGTTCTAGTCAATGAAGTGGAACTGATTTGACCCAGAGACATGAAAGACGTGCTGCTAAGGAATATGGGTCTTAATATGCACAACCAATATTAATGTGTCTTGACAGATGAGATAGGCTATACATGTGGATGTGTGTTGATAATGAGAAAAATGAATGCTGTCACTACCTCCATTTCAAACCAAGGTGCATGAATAGTGGAGCAAACAAAGGTATTTTCCTTTTACATGTGTTGTTAATGTACAGCATTGTATTTTATTCTAGCATTCATAAAATTGATGTTGGTGAGTTTAATCAATTAAATTCAATGCTCAGTGTGTCTCACCTCGACTCGTGTCTTGTAGAAGTGGACGTCGTGTAGCCTCTCCTTGCAGCGCGACAGCTCTGTCTCCAGTCTGTCCACCTTGGCTGCCTTCTCCCTCAGAGCATCCACCTCATCCCTGTAGGCACGCACCGACCGTGCCTCCGCCAGCAGCTGCATGTTCTGCACAGCGCATAAAAAGACACACTATGGATCTGGTCTGGAGGTTATAATTGCAGAAATGGTATACTGCCGCTACTTTGCAGCAACCAAACAGAGGTGCATGAATTGTACAACAAACTAGATGTACTGGAGGTTATGGCTCATTTGTGGTCAAGATTCGAAATGCCTAGGAGGAAACTTTTTCCTTACTTGGAAAAGAAGGGAAAGTTGGGTTTCAATGTATGTTTACGTAAGTGAGTGAGATAAACAGGGGGAGAAAGTGAGGGAGAGAAACAGGAGGATAGTGTGAGGGGGGGGACAGGGAAGCCGAAGTGAAAAAGAGGAAATCCGCACCTCTTGCTTGAGTTTCTGCATCTCCAGGTCCAGCCTCTCCACCTCATGTTTGGTATCCATCAGATGCTCAGTCTTCTCCTCCCTGGGAGAGACACAGCACACATTAGGTTGGCAAATCAATTTATTCAGACATATATACATTTTTGTAATCATGTTAAGTGTAGTTTATTTAGAGTCAATATATTTTCTGATAGAGGGCTTGCAGTGTTTCTGAAGCTAACATCTTAGGAAATTATTTGTCTTAATAAAATAAAATATACTAAATGCTGAACTGTTATCCCCGACTCTAACCTCTCCCCTTTTCTGACTCACAGTTCCTGTCGCGAGCGTCTCAGTTTGGCTTTAGTGTCGGCCAGCTCCACAGCCAGGTGCTGGCGGTCCTCTTTGGACAGCAGTGAGACGGGTCCATCCAGGCCCAATGCAGTCCTCTCAGGACAGGGGTAACCCAGGTGATTGGAAGGCTGCTGGGACTGGAGGTAGTCCTTCTCCTGGGTCAGCTCCACGATCACCTGGAGGAGGGCGGAGAAGAACTCTGTCAGTCTATTGGCTGTGCATAGAAAGGGCACAAATCAAGTCTGCATGACAGTAATGTCCATATCATGTACAGATGCATTTTTTAAACTTATTGTGGGTAATACAGTTGATTTGGGTGTGTTTCAGACTAGTTCTGTGTTCGATACCAACCTCTGCACATTCATCTCTTTCATCTATGAGTTTGCGGAGGTGCAGGGCCATGTTACGGGACAGGGGTTCGAGCTCCTCAGGGGGCATGTCTGGCAGCTCCAGCCACTGCATGTCCAACACATTCTCCTGGTTATGGGTCACCTGAAGGGGTAGACAGACAATATAACAACAATGTAAACAGGAATGCCATAAGTTCTGCATTGAAACCCAATACATGTGTAATAACAGTGCCATCTCCCTTGTATTTCTGAATCTGTGCAGCGAAATATAACAATATTGTCAAAAGGAATATAGTACTGTAGGCCTGGGAATAAGACTTGTATGTGTCTGTATGTGAAGATGCATAGTACATGTGAGAAAAATATTCACTATAAACAAATTGACGAACACGCATGAACAGGATTGCCTAAATGTCAATGGAAATGTCATACTGTTAAAGTGTAGGCCTAGGAGTAAGACCTGAATATGTCTTTACTTTATTAGATTTATTTGACAGGGATAGTGCACATAAATCAATGTTTCTGTAAATGTGCCAGATTTAGCCAGATGCCAAATTTTCAGCAGTATTCACAAGGCGTACCTGAAGATAACGTGAGAAAACAATTCACTACAAAAAAGGAAGGGCTGATGCGCATGAACATGTGTGCCTGCTTTGACGTGAACACACCTACACCTGCACTACTCACCTCTTGAATGTGGGAGACGATGGCTGCCTGCTTCTCGATGTCGAGCAGTTTGATTTTCTCAATGATCTCTTCTTTCCTCTCACACTGCAGAGGAAGTAGCAATGACAGGCACTTCTATCAGATACCTATAGGTCACGACTATAAACTATCAGAAAGACATTTTGATTAAGATTTGGTTCTCACATTCTCTATTGAACACAAAGGACTGGGTGTTTGAATGGTCATAAATATGAATAAGCCATATGAAAAGAAGAAGGTTCTAAATCTTATAGAAATACTGTATGGGGTAATGTGGAGGACTTGAGGCGGCACAGACTCGAGTAATTACCATTCAATTAAATGGAGAGAAAACAATTATAAGAGGTATAGATAATGCATCGACTTAGAAAATGAATTCCATCTATGCTTGACGTTGACATTTTTTTATGTATCGGAAAAATACCTGAGGAAAAGTTAACAACTAGTCAACACTTCATCTCTCTCTCTATCCCGCTTTTTCCCAAGAACAAGAAAAACCAGTGCAGTGTAACATAGAGAAAAGAGAGAGAGAGGCCAGGGGATTGGAGGGAATGAAAACAATAGTGTACAGAGCTGAAGTGAGAGAGATATCAGAGCCACGGGAATGGAACAGCCTCTGGTATAGGTACAGGTGGGTGGGCCCTGCACTATTTAACCCTTTATCTCTCTGAGCCTCTGACATGCGCTGTGATATTGGTGCTACAATGGACATGTCGATTTCAAAAGAGAAATTAATCTCATAAAACATTTGAGGGCCATCTTGAATTGATTCATAAAATGTTGATAAGATAACAGGCCATTGCTGTTGCACTGAAGGCGACTGTTATCAGTTTCAGTTAATACAGGGATGCGTTCTAACATGTAAAGTTATGCCAATGCAGCTTCACTTCCTGGTGTGATCAGGTGCCAGGTAGACTAGTGGTTAGAGCGCTGGGCCAACCGAAAGGTCGCTGGTTCAAATACCTGAGACGACAAGGTGAATAAAATCTGTTGATGTGCCGTTGAGCAAGGCAATTATGTTTCACCGAGTCGTGGCTGAACGACGACATGGACAACATACAGCTAGCGGGCTATACGCTACATCGGCAGGATAGAACGGCTGACTCAGGTAAGACAAGGGGTGGCGGTCTGTGTATATTTGTAAACAACAGCTGGTGCACAAAATCAAATAATAAGGAAGTCTCTAGGTTTTGCTCGCCTGAGGTAGAGTATCTTATGATAAGCTGTAGACCACACTATTTACCAAGAGAGTTTTCATCTATATTTTTCATAGTTGTCTATTTACCACCACAAACCAATGCTGGCATTAAGATTGCACTGAATGAGCTGTATAAGGCCATAAGTCAACAGGAAAACGCTCATCCAGAGGCAGCGCTCCTAGTGGCCGGGGACTTTAATGCAGGGAAACTTAAATCCGTTCTACCTAATTTCTACCAGCATGTTAAATGTGCAACCAGAGGAAAAAAAACTCTAGACCACCTTTACTCCACACACAGAGACGCATACAAAGCTCTCCCTCGCCCTCCATTTGGCAAATCTGACCATAACTCTATCCTCCTGATTCCTGCTAATAAGCAAAAACTAAAGCAGGAAGCACCAGTGACTCGGTTAATAAAAAAGTGGTCAGATGACGCAGATGCTAAGCTACAGGACTGTTTTGCTAGCACAGACCGGAACATGTTCCGGGATTCTTCAGATAGCATTGAGGAGTACACCACATCAGTCACTGGCTTCATCAATAAGTGCATCGATGATGTCGTCCCCACAGTGACCGTACGTACATACCCCAGCCAGAAACCGTGGATTACAGGAAACATCCGCACTGAGCTAAAAGGGTAGAGCTGCTGCTTTCAAGGAGCGGGACTCTAACCCGGACGCTTATAAGAAATCCCGCTATGCCCTCCGACGAACCATCAAACAGGCAAAGAGTCAATACAGGACTAAGATTGAATCGTACTACACCGGCTCTGACGCTCGTCGGATGTGGCAGGGCTTGAAAACTATTACAGACTACAAAGGGAAGCACAGCCGCGAGCTGCCCAATGACACAACACTTCCAGACGAGCTAAACCACTTCTATGCTCGCTTCGAGGCAAGCAACACTGAAGCATGCATGAGAGCACCAGCTGTTCCGGATGACTATGTGATCACGCTCTCCGTAGCCGATGTGAGTAAGACTTTTAAGCAGGTCAACATTCACAGACGGATTACCAGGACGTGTACTCCGAGCATGTGCTGACCAACTGGCAAGTGTCTTCACTGACATTTTCAACATGTCCCTGACTGAGTATGTAATACCAACATGTTTCAAGCAGACCACCATAGTCCCCATGCCCAAGGACTCTAAGATAACCTGCCTAAATGACTACCGACCCGTAGCACTGACGTCTGTAGCCATGAAGTGCTTTGAAAGGCTGGTCATGGCTCACATCAACACCATTATCCCAGAAACCCTAGACCCACTCCCATTTGCATACCGCCCCAACAGATCCACAGATGATGCAATCTCTATTGCACTCCACACTGCCCTTTCCCACCTGGACAAGAGGAACACCTACGTGAGAATGCTATTCATTGACTACAGCTCAGCGTTCAACACCACAGTGCCCTCAAAGCTCAACAATAAGCTAAGGATCCTGGGACTAAACACCTCCATCTGCAACTGGATCCTGGACTTCCTGACGGGCCGCCCCCAGGTGGTAAGGGTAGGTAACAACACATCTGCCACACTGATCCTCAACACGGGGGCCCCTCAGGGGTGCGTGCTCAGTCCCCTCCTGTACTCCCTGTTCACCCATGACTGCATGGCCAGGCACGACTCCAACACCATCATTAAGTTTGCCGACTCCAACACCATCATTAAGTTTGCCGACTCCAACACCATCATTAAGTTTGCCGACGACACAACAGTGGTAAGCCTGATCACCGACAACGATGAGACAGCCTATAGGGAGGAGGTCAGAGAGCTGGCCGTGTGGTGCAAGGATAACAACCTCTCCCTCAACGTGACCAAGACAAAAGGAGATGATTGTTGACTACAGAAAAAAAAATAAAGAGGTTTGAGCACGCCCCCATTCTCATCGACGAGGCTGTAGTGGAACAGGTTTGAGAGCTTCAAGTTCCTTGGTGTCCACATCACCAACAAACTATCATGGTCCAAACACACCAAGACAGTCGTGAAGAGGGCACGACAAAGCCTATTCCCCCTTAAGAGACTGAAAAGATTTGGCATGGGTCCTCAGATCCTCAAAAAATTCTACAGCTGCACCATCGAGAGCATCCTGACTGGTTGCATCATCGCCTGGTATGGCAACTGCTTGGCCTCCGACCGCAAGGCACTACAGAGGGTAGTGCGTACGGCCCAGTACATCACTGGGGCCAAGCTTCCTGCCATCCAGGACCTCTATACCAGGCGGTGTCAGAGGAAGGCCCTCAAAATTGTCAAAGACTCCAACCACCCTAGTCATAGACTGTTCTCTCTGCTACCACACGGCAAGCGGTACCGGAGTGCCAAGTCTAGGTCCAAAAGACTTCTCAACAGCTTCTACCCCCAAGCAATAAGACTCTGGAAACAGCTAATCATTGCTACCTGGACTATTTGCACTGCCCCCCATTCCCCATCTTTTTACGCTGCTGCTACTCTGTTAATTATTTATGCATAGTCACTTTAACTCTACCCACATGTACATATTACTTCAACTACATGAACTAGCTGGTGCCCCCGCACCGGTACCCCCCTGTATATATAGCCTCCCTACTGTTATTTTATTTTACTTCTGCTCTTTTTTTCTCAAGTTTGTTGTTTTATTCTACTTTTTTATTTAAAATAAATGCACTGTTGGTTAAGGGCTGTAAGTAAGCATTTCACTGTAATGTCTGCACCTGTTGTATTCGGCACATGTGGCCAATAAAATTTGATTTGATAATTTGCTCCAGGTGCGCTGTATGGCTGACCCTGTCAAACAACACATTTCACTGCACCTATCCGGTGTATGTGACAATAAACATATACAGTATATATCTATACACATACATATATACACAATCACTGTATAATGTTTGCCAAGGCAGAAAGTCACATATCCCTGTATTGTACAGTAAACTGACTAACTGCCTCTACACAGACTCACAAGGGAATTAATTCTACAGTAGGCCTACCTGGTTGGCTCAATTAGGAGGGGTTGTTCATGTTTTGTAATTTTAACTTTATTCATTCAGATTATCATTGAGATCAAATCTCTTTTCCAAGAAAGATCTGTTGAAGATGTTAGAAAAGGCTATGTTACCTGTACAGCACAGCCTAGGATCAACAGCAGCAGTCTCTTCACCTCCTCCATACCCTTGCCTGTTGAAGATGAAAGATGAAGACATACCTGATTAAAACACCCTTTCCTTTTAGCCGATTGATTCCAATCAGACCAACTCCTTGAATGCCCTACTCCTTGATGTGTAAAAAAAATAATCATTTTGCTCCAAATATATTTTTTACTTTACTGTATTTATACTTGGGAAATCGCTTTTCAACAGTACAAGTAAAAAAAATCTCTGGAGGACATCTTGAAATTAAGACATTTTTGTTTTTATGAATTATTACGATATACAGTGCCAATCTCCCGAGTGGCACAGTGGTCTAAGGCCCTGCATCGCAGTGCTAGCTGTGCCACTAGAGATCCTGGTTCGAATCCAGGCTCTGTCGTAGCCGGCCACGACCAGGAGATCCATGGGGCTGCGCACAATTGGCCCAGCGTCGTCCAGGGTAGGGGAGGGAATAGCCTACAGGGATGTAGCTCAGTTGGTAGAGCATGGCGTTTCAATGCCAGGGTTGTGGGTTCGATTCCCACGGGAGGCCAGTATAAAAAAATAAAATGTATGCACTCTAACTGTAAGTCGCTCTGGATAAGAGTGTCTGCTAAATGACGTAAATGTAGTGTAAATGTCTTTAGAAAGTATTCATACCCCTTGAATTATTCCACTTTGTTGTGTTACACCCTGAATTCAACATGGATTAAGTCGATTTTTATCTCACCCACCTACGCACAATACCCCATAATGACGAAGTGAAAACATGTTTAGAGAAATGTTTGCAAATGTATTGAAAATGAAATAGAGAAATATCTAATTTACATAAGTATTCATACACCTGAGTCAATACATGTTAGAATCACATTTGGCATCGATTACAGCTGTGAGTCTTTCTGGGTAAGTCTCTTAGAGCTTTGCACACCTGGATTGTACAATATTTGCACATTATTCTTTTCAAAATTCTTCAAGCACCGTCAAGTTGGTGGTTGATCATCGCTAAACAGCCATTTTCAAGTCTTGCCATGGATTTTAAAGCCGATTTAAGTCAAAACTCTAACTAGGACACTCAGGAACATTCAATTAGAAAACCTCCCTGGTCTTTGTGGTTGAATCTGTGTTTGAAATTCACTGCTTGACTGAGGGACCTTACAGATAATTGTGTGTGTATGGGGTACAGAGATGAGGTAGTCATTCAAAAATCATGTTAAACACTTTTATTGCACACAGAGTGAGTCCATGCAACTTTATTATATGACTTGTTAAGCATATTTTTACTCCTGAACTTATTTAGGCTTGCCATAAAGGCGGTTGAATAGTTATTGAGTTATGACATTTCAGCTTTTCATTTAATAAATTTAAAAAAACATAATTCCACTTTGACATTATGGGGTATTGTGTGTAGGCCCGTGACACAAAACCTCAATTTAACCCATTTTCAATTCAGGCTTTAACACAACAAAATGTGGAAAAGGTCAAGGGGTGTGAATACTTTCCACAGGCACTGTATTGCCAATTTCGACTTGGCAGCTGGCCTATCTAGTGGAAATCGCTCAGCTCTGCCTCCAGGACAAGATTCATCCCAATATGCGTCAACCTGCCAGGCAGGCAGCAAATCCCAAATGACAGTTTTGTGGACCTCTCCCATCCCCCCAGTTCTTACACCAGTGGCTGGAAGAACTCTCCCATCGCTGTTGGTTAGGAGCCATCAATTAGTGGGTCAATCTTTAAAATCAGCCACAGCTCAGGATTATCTTTGGGTGTTTTTGTGGATGTAGCAAGCGTTTATTAAAAAAGGTATTTACCATTTCTTTTTGTTTGTCTGGGATCAGCTGTGTGTTAGTATGTGCGTGTGTGTGTGTGTGTGTGTCCTTGGTCCTGGAAAGGACTTCAAAAAAGCTTGATCAACACTCTGGGGAAAGGGCAACAGGGTTGCCATGGAGACCCTGTCTGCGACCCAGCCCTGCCCTTATTCCATTGAGACCAACTAAGAAGACAAAAGGGCAGGCAGTGGTGTAACCCTGAACTGAACATAGGAACTCATGGAAAAGCTAACTTCCTGAGGCCATTCCATACAAACATAACATAACGCATCCATCCACACACAATAATATTAACACACACCCCATTAACCACTATTGAAATTCAGTTCACATATAGTGGCTTGGGAAGGTATTCACCCCCCTTGGCTTTTTTCCTATTTTGTTGCTTACAACCTGGAATTAAAATGGATTTTTTGGGGGTTTGTATCATTTGATTTACACAACATGCCTACCACTTTGAAGATGCGAAATATATTTTGGGGTGAAACAAACAAGAAATAAGACAAAAAAACAGAAAACTTGAGCGTGCTTAACTATTCACTCCCCCTCCCCCCTCCCCCCAAAGTCAATACTTTATAGAGCCACCTTTTGCAGCAATTACAGCTGCAAGTCTCTTGGGGTATGTCTCTATAAGCATTTTTCAATGCAAAACTGCTCCAGCTCCTTCAAGTTGGATGGGTTCCGCTGGTGTACAGCAATCTTTAAGTCATACCACAGATTCTCAATTGGATTGAGGTCTGGGCTTTGACTAGGCCATTCCAAGACATTTAAATGTTCCCTTTAAACCACTCGAGTGCTGCTTTAGCAGTATGCTTAGGGTCATTGTCCTGCTGGAAGGTGAACCTCCGGAAGACTGAATCAGGTTTCCCTCAAGAACTTTCCTGTATTTAGCGCCATCCATCATTCCTAAATTCTGACCAGTTTCCCAGTCCCTGCAGATGAAAAACATCCCCACTGCATGATGCTGCGACCACCATGCTTCACTGTGGGGAAGGTGTTCTCGGGGTGATGAGAGGTGTTCGGTTTGCGCCAGACATAGCATTTTCCTTGATGGCCAAAAAGCTCAATTTTAGTCTCATCTGAGCAGAGTACCTTCTTCCATATGTTTGGGGAGTCTCCCACATACCGTTTGGCGAACACCAAACGTGTTTGCTTATTTTTTTCTTTTTCTGGCCACTCTTCCGTGAAGCCCAGCTCTGTGGCGTGTACGGCTTAAAATGGTCCTATGGACAGATACTCCAATCTCCGCTGTGGAGCTTTGCAGCTCCTTCAGGGTTATCTTTGGTCTCTTTGTTGCCTCTCTGATTAATGCCCTCCTTGCCTGGTCCGTGAGTTTTGGTGGGCGGCCTTCTCTTGGCAGGTTTGTTGTGGTGCCATATTCTTTCCATTTTTTAATAATGGATTTAAATAGTGCTCCGTGGGATGTTCAAAGTTTCTGATATTTGTTTATAACCCAACCCTGATCTGTACTTCTCCACAACTTTGTCCCTGACCTGTTTGGAGAGCTCCTTGGTCTTCATGGTGCCGCTTGCTTGGTGGTGCCCCTTGCTTAGTGGTGTTGCAGACTCTGGGGCCATTCAGAACAGGTGTATATATACTGAGATAATGTGACACTTAGATTGCACACAGGTGGACTTTATTTAACTAATTATGTGACTTCTGAAGGTAATTGGTTGCACCAGATCTTATTTAGGGGCTTCATAGCAAAGGGGGTGAATACATATGCACGAACCACTTTTCCGGTATTTATTTTTTAGAATTTTTTGAAACAAGTAATTTTTCACTTCACCAATTTGGGCTATTTTGTGTATGTCCATTACATGAAATCCAAATAAAAATCTATTTAAATTAATGTAATGCAACAAAATAGGAAAAATGCGAAGGGGGCTGAATACTTTTGCAAGGCACTGTACCAAGGCTGGCTTACAGCAAAAGCCTCCCAACAACCCCACCAATCTCAATGTTAGACCACTATTGTTCTTGATTGCTAAACACGTTTTCATACGGGACCAATCAAGAGGCCTAGATCTAGATAACTTGGCTCCCGGCAGGAAAATAGAAATCAGCCACATGGGTCCTGATAAAAAGTTATTTGTGTGTCTGACAGACAGTTGCAGGAACCAACATGCAAAACAAGCGTGCTGGCGGCAGGGTAGTGGCCCAACCCATGAAAGGTCTAGCCGCCGGGAGGAGAAGGAACAACTGTCTGGCGGTGAAGCTGAACACTTTAAACATGACGTTATTATCCTGGAGATACTCTACTCTCACGCCAGCACAGTTACAAAAGCCATAGAAATAACTGGTCTGGTGTTCCTTTTGTTCATTCATGCATACAGTACAGAACTGTACTGCAAGTACATTCATGAACTACATACTGTGTGTGGGATGTGGGGTATTAGCTTTATGGAGTCATCTAGCTAGGTGGAGTTGCAAAAGTCATAAGGGACAGAGGCTGCATGAACCACACTAGCTAGATGTAAATCGCTCATTACAGAGTAGTGTATATATATGGTTCTGGGTTCAGAGATTATATTCGATGAGAAAACAAAAACAATTATTCCTTCTGGTAAAAGTTTAGTTGTTACTAATCAGACTAGATGGTCCCATCAAGGCTAAATATACCATAGTAGCCTTAGGTGAACTATCCCCCAGCTATACCTGTATCTTGCGGACAACAGGCCTCTATCTGACCTCTCCACACCCACTATATCAGGTCTGACGGTCTCCATAGCCACACATACGCACAGCTAGCCATATAAGGTCTATCCTGGCGAGGTTGTCGACACCAGGCCGGAGAGCCCACACACTCAGCACTCTCCATGGCCTGATTAGCCTCCTACAGACTGAAGGGCTCCAATGGACTTTTCCTGCCTTTCCCACTTCCTGACTGACCCCAGAAAAAGGCCACAACATGTGCATCCTTCCCACCCCAACAGGCCCTCATACGGTACAGTATCTGGACTGAGATTGCAAGGGAATATATAAAGGCATTTGTAAGCACTTGTTGTGAGTGTGAACAAGAGATGATGGGGACCCATAACTTAATCTTGCACTAGCCAGCTAGCCAACTGGATTTAGAGGCGTAGCTACCTGAGGCTTGTTGTAAGTTTGTGAACAAGAGAATGAGCACCACAGTACCTGAGAGGGGGTCCTTAGCGATGGTCAGCACATTAGGCAGGGTCATCAGGATGAGCTGCTGGAGACTCTCCTGAAAAACACAGAAGAGAACATTCCGGGTTAAGTAAGAGCAGGACCAGAGGAAAGAAACCATAGCAGCAGAAGTCCTGTGTGCCGTCCTGCCTGTCTGCATGCATCTGTTGACTTTTAAGGCAGTGCAGGGGTTAACTAGGCTAACTAATAAAGCCACAGCCTCCAGCTAGAACAGAACAGGAAGCTTCCACCAGCATGAATATGAAGGGTGGGGTCGCTAACAGAGCTTTAACAGGGACCCACAGCAAGGTGGGAAAGGGAAACATGTATTAACAAACAGACAGGAAATCTTGATGGAAAGGAGGCCCATTTTCAGCATGTTTGGGGAGGAGGGGAGTTCATACAGTAATCAATGCAGTGCCCCGCTGTAACAATCTCCTAGTGAGAGAGAATATGGGCAGGGCTGTAATAACACACACACACAAAGTCAGACTCATAAACAAACATTCACAGACCGGTACATGTTGGGAATCAGGAAGGAACACAATCACATACATACACACAACATGTGCATGCATGTACGTATTGTTTGTTCTCTCTTATGTCCCAATCACATGGCTATGTCTGTCTGTGTGAGAGAATGGACCTGAGAACAATGGACACCTTGGTAACTAGCTATAACACAAGACCCAACACGTCCAAATGACCTTAGCTCCTCATTCAAACACACACACACACACACACACCTACCTACCCATAAACATTACACCCACACAACATGACACTGGTAGGTCACCTGTAATGGTTATAGCTGTAAACACCAGGCACGTGCGTCAAACAACTCATTGTGGTAGAATTAACAACTTGAGAGTTTAACTGAAGTCCGTTTGAACTGAACAGTCTTCAGGTAATACTGCAGGTTATGTAAAAAGGGAAAACTGAAAGATTAGGGTCAGGTTAGCCTCATCGTGAGAGAGAGCGTGAGCGAAAGAGAGAGAAAGAGCGAGAGCGCATTGGCACAGAAGTTACTATGACATCTTTCCCTCCTTTCCAATACAGGTTTCACTGGACTCCGGAGGCATTAGATTAGACAGGCCTGGGGGAGAATCAAAGGGCCTTCCGCCCGTACAAGAGAGGAGAGGGGCCTTCTGTATAGAGGGGCTGGGTGGTGGTGGTGTGGGGTAATGACCACTTTCACTCTCCCTCCCTGCTATTGCAGCAGACCCTTGGCAGAGGCCCCGGCCTAGCTACAGCTCTATTGTCAGGTAAAAACCATTGAGCATTCCATTTGTTACCCATGTCATCCTGAGAAAGCTCTCTAACACAAAAACACCACCCACTTCTCTGTTTAAAATGCACTGAACTAGAAACTCGGAGCACAAGATCGGTTAAGAAACAGCAGAACAGTGTCTAACTGCCTGCTAGACTCCTCATCTTACACTAGCAGCACCTCAGCGAAAATGTCACAAGGATAAAAAGGCCAGAGGTGTTGCTTTTCCTTAGTTCCCATGGTGGTCCCTAAATTCCACGGTGCAAATACATGACATAGATCCAGACATGAAACAATTGTTCTATTCCTCGATTTGCCAGATTTGTACATTATTTCTAAATGAAGTTATGGTCAGCATGGCTTTGAGTTGCTGTGGTAGTTTGCTCAGCTCAACAGTGCCAGTATATATGTTCTTACCAGAGGCGGAGTCACTGGCTTGTCCTTCCTGTCCTCGGGCTCGTGCAGTGGGGGAGATCTACGTGGGCTATACTCGGCCTTGTCTCCGGGTAGTAAGTTAGTGGTCTGTTGATATCCCTTTAGTGGTGTGGAGACTGTGCTTTGGCAAAGTGGGTGGGGTTATATTTTGCCTGGTTGGCCCTGTCTGGGGGTAACTTTGGACAGGGCCACAGTGTTCCCCGACTCCCCGTCTCAGTCTCCAGTTTCTATGCTGCAAAAGTCTATGTGCCGGGGGGCTAGAGTCAGTCTGTCATATCTGGTGTAATTATCCTGTCTTATCTGGTGTCCTGTGTCCTCTCCCCCATCCCGGATGACCCGAGCCATGCCTCAGGACTACCTGGCTTGACAACTCCTGGCTGTCCATGTCCCCAGTCCTTCTGGTTGTGCTGCTGCTCCAGTTTCTGATGTTCTGCCTGCGGCATTGGAACCCTGACCTGTTCACCGGATGTGCTGCTGATCCAGTTTCTGCTGTTCTACCTGCAGCTATGGAACACTGACCTGTTCACCGGTCGTGCTGCTGATCCAGTTTCTGCTGTTCTACCTGCAGCTATGGAACCCTGACCTGTTCACCGGTCGTGCCATCTTGTCTCGGACATGCTGTTTCGACCCCCTCTCTTTCTCTCTCTCTTCCCCTGATAAAGTCGGTTAAAAACAATACACGTGTCAGTGGAGTGGAACTTTCTAAAACCAGACCAAGACGTAAAAAATATATATTCCTCCATCTGTTCATTAATTAATTTTTACAGCACACTCAAAATAGATACTTCTATAGTTGCCCTTGGCGGTTTTTCTGCCCTTCTCGTAACTGGGAACTCTACCTTGCTCAATAAAGATGTTGATTAAATAAGACTTTACTACTTCTCTGTTATTAACAGATGCTTGGGTTTGGGGGCAACAATAGTAGATAAGCATGGTGCATCTGGACTGGAGCCTCTTATGGCCATAAAACATAACGACTGTCTGACTAAAGGGCCCCATTTGTCTGTTATTCTGTTACACCTCATCAATACTCCAACACTGGCTTACATTCCATTCATCACACACACCCAGGCCTTTCTATAAAACACCTCTTAATTGAATGGCTACTTAACAGATCAATTTAGGGAAGCAACATCATTAAACAATGTCCAATTACAAGCTTTTTATCATGTGGATAGCACTGGGACTGTGTAGAGGTGTTACAGGGTGTTACAGACTCAAAGCATCATGTTTCAGCAGGCAGGTGATCATAGAGAGGAACCTGAGGGAGAATGACAGCTCTGAGACAGGCTGCCTATCAGTTTACCCTCTGGAGGACGGGCCAGTGAGGACACTAACAGTAGCTGCAGGTGTTGGCTATGATGCATAGCTAAATAGAGTTCCCTAGCTATCGCTCTGTCTGCGACCCAAATGGCACCCTATTCCCTTTATAGTGCACTACTTTTGACTAGGCTCTGATCCAAAGTATTGCACTATAAAGAGAATAGGGTGTCATTTGGAACGCATACTCTCTTTGCCTGGTCAACTCCTGCTGTCAGCTAGTCCAAATCATCTCCATCAGCATAAGATAAACCAAACCAGTGTAAATTAAACATGACAACAGCCTGGCAGATGTTTCCTTCAAGACTAACTAACCACATACTTTATTGATGGAGATAGGAGAGAGAGATATTTGCATTGTTGTTTCTCCAGTACTGGGTCATGTTCATTAGGCACCAATCAAAACAAGAATAATAAATAAACTGACAAACAGGGAGGGAGCAACTACCTGGACTTGTCCAATCAGAAAACACTCATTTTCAGTTTACTGTATAAAAGGTGATGATATGCTATGGTGGGCCCAACTGAACACGACCCTGGTGTATCAGCCATGTTAGTGGAAAACAACAGGCTGACTGGCTGGGACACACTAACACACTAACAAAAAGAGGTCTGGTTTACATTATTGATAAGTGCAGATGGATTTCAGCCTGCAGGAACAGGTGAGGTCATGTTCAGGTACTGGAGTCACCTCTCTCCATTACCCACCCAACAATGATAACTACATAAAGTACAAAAACATTGTTTTTGGCTGAACTCATACCTTCGGGTGTGTATTGTGCAGTAGGTAGGCGTGTCCCTTGACAACAGCCATTTCCACTGTAAAATCTACCTTGTTTAAACAGGGAAGTGGGGAGGAGAAACAAAGGACTTCATCATGATCATCATCTACAGCTCACTAACATTATGGAACCATCGTTAGGAGGAATGGCTTTGAAGATGTGTTGGGACAGAGGGTCAAAGAAAGAGCTCACTGGCCAGAAATGTTGGAAATGTCCCTTTGATGCCAGGGCCCCATTTCCTCTTCCTCTGTTGCTATGCAGAACAATGCAGAGCTCTGCAATCTAGGAAATCCATAGGCAACGTGTTTTTGTTTGGTTTTGTGGACCTTTGGCTTGATGGTTGTTTGGTGAGCGATCAGCCTTTTCACATAAAGCTGAGGGAGGGGCTGTAGACCAAGTGTTTCAAATTCTACATGTACATCATTAGTGGTGAGACGAGTTAGCAAGTGAAAGCAAGCACAAGTGAAAAGGTCGATTGGGAATCTATCAGAGACAAAAGCAGAGAGAGAGAGAGAGAGAGAGAGGGAAGGAGAGCTCCAGCCTCCTCCCCAACCAGCCAAGATCAAGGAGACAGCAGAGGCAGGCTGGGTAGATCCACTCCGCACCAGTGCTGGGCTCGACACGATAACGTCAATCAGAACGTTCCCCCAGGCCACACTGCCCCCAATGGGCCCCTCTCTTCCCATCACTGAGCCTCTCCCCCTCAGCACAGACAGACCATGGGAACAGCAGGACTCCTGCTTCAATCCACTCTACCAGGGCTGCTTCAAAGCCCCATTTCAATACATACAGACATACATGTACTGTGTAACTGGGAGAAAGCAGAGGCAAACTCATCCAAGAGACGTTTAGGTATTGCACTTAAAATAAAATTCCCTTCCCCCATTCTATTCCAATGTACAGTTTTTTGGTTGTACAATGTAAACAATGGGCAGGTCAATGAGCAGGTATTATCAGAGGAAGAGAGACCACACCCAAAACAGTTTTCCTGAGGAGAAGACAACACTAGCCTATAAACAGTGCTGCTGCTTGCTGCTGTGTTAGGGAAGCCCTACAGTAAGTATGCAGCTCTTGTCCTATGGGATGAGGCCCCACATGCACATTTTAGGTGTCTGCTAGCAGCTAGCTGGTAGTCTTGTGCACCAGAACTCTGCAATAGCCTGGGGACACAATTAGCTAGCTGGAGGCCCTCGAGTGTGTCACAACTAGGAACAGTCTGGCAGTGTGCCAAGCCAACACCCTGCACCCACC